TCTATGACGTAGAGTATAATTTGTTTTTTGTTTGGACTAGCAACCATTTTTAATCTTCTGTGTTTGTGGTGTTTGTGTTAGTATCAGTTTTTCTCATGTTCCTCCCATGACTCATATCTCTTAACAAAACCAAGGTGGTTTGTCTATATATTGGCTTTTGGGAGAGGGGAGGGAGCCACTGGGAGCAGAAGCCCGTGTAGTCTAATTCTCCTTTTTTTAAGAATTTCTCTTCATCTCTAGCATATGATCCCTCAAAATTTTGCCCTACTTACAAGCTATTGTTCAGATCAACAATTTGCAGAAAACTACAGAATTTTTGTTCCATTTAACAATGCAGGAAAAACAAATCTGTCGGTTATTTTTCTGGAAATATAACCCTTCAGTGGCCTTCACAGTAAAAATGTGAGGTTTTGCAAGTATATATCTTTCTGCACACGTGGACCCATCCCCACTATAATGAGAAAATAATCTTTTGGACCAATTATATTTGAATTGTGTTCCCAGGACCAGTACAGAGATCAGTTCACAAGCAATTTCCGTTACTTTTCTGTAATAAAAGACATGTAAAACTCTTGGGAAAACACTGAAAACTGCGTGGGTGCCTTGGCAGATGGGAATTTAAACATATCTGTGGTTTGTGTGGCTTTATTGGATAAAATGTAGGATTTTCCAAACTGTGGTTCAAATTTTCATGTGCTGGATGTTGTAGAATTTGTTTTTCTGAACTGCTGCTTTTGTCTCAAATCAAACTCTGTGTATTTTGTCAAGACCTGCAGGAATTGACTCCGAGAAGTGATTAATGGAGGCTCTGAAATTGTTGAGGGGCCCCAGAATAGAGGTTTGGTCATGAGATGCTTTTTAAGTGGAGCTGGTTCAAATTTCTCCTTAGGCTCAGAGTGACTAAGAACGATGTTTTCCCAAAGCTGTCGTCCTCACGTGCCTCGCTGGGGACGTGCGAGAAGAGGGGTGATAGGTGAGTTGGGAGGTTCGAGCGCTAGCTCTACGTGCTGGAAACCCCTCTTGAGGTTCCTGGCTAACATCTGAGATTTGTCCAATCTGCTGGACGTGGTTTTGCTTGTGCGACTCTGGGGAGCACCGTGGGGAGCAGCGGGTCTTTGTATGGCTGCTTGTTGACCATTAAAAATGAACGTTAGTGCTGGGGAGCCCTCGTTCAGAAGTGTTGTGCTGAGTATGAGCATCTCGTACGTTCCTGCCTCCTCCAACAGGAGGAGGAAAAAACTAATTTGTAACGGCAAAGGTAAAAATCAGGCTAAATAAGTATGGTAAGCCACAATCACAGCTCAAGTGCATATGTCTTAGCTTTAGACCTAGCATAGCTTTGCAGTAATTTGAGTTATATTCTATATTATTTTATTCATATTCTCTGTCAGAGCACCTTTTTTGCCAGGAGTGAAGGACCATAGATCCCCATCCTCCTTGCTGTCACCAGCAGGCAATGCAGGTGGTTCCTTTTCCCCAATGGCTCTAGTCCCAGTGACCATCCTAAAAGCATAAGTCATGGACAGCTTGGGAAATGCCCCAGGCATGTAAGAAATAATGCTGTTTTGTTATACCAAAATGACTAAATTTACTAAAAATAAAAGAATGAATGAATGGAGTGAATCAAAAATAAAACAGCCAGTTAGTCTTCTGTCATGTTTTATTCCCTAAACCATATTCCTCTTAAAATAAATGGATAAATAAATCACTGCCAAGTGGCTCACGGAAGGCCTAGACAAATGTTAGCTGTGCCTCTAGGGAATGGGCAGATGTTTAGGAGCGGAGGAAGAGGAAGGGAGGAGGTTCCCTTTTGTTCCACCTGGCTATCTTTGCGTTTATTTAACATCTCTTTTCCCTCTGAAAGGGGAATGGGTTGACCTTGAAGGAGGCCTTGTCCTTTAAAAGAAAATACTTAAATTTTTCTTGAAATGGCCCTTTGGATTGTAAAAATGCATTTCTATCAGAAGAAGAAAACTAGGAAAGCTGGGTATGTAGAAAACTTGCATGGTTTAAAAAATAATAATAAAAAATAATAAAAATAATAAAACATAATAAAAACTACAAAAACTCAGCATCCTCAATGATCTCAATGACTGCATTTGTGTTTTATTTCATTCAAGACATCTTTTTTTAAGCTAATTTTTAATTGATTTACTTTTCAAGATGTTGCCAAGAAGATGTTCAGCTGGGTGTTTGCTGCCGTGGATGAGGCAGCATTTGGGCTGGGAATCACTCTCTTCTGCTCTCCACTAGTTCCCCGTGTAAAAATAACCATTGTCAGTCAAAACATTGCCTGCTCCTGTGCAGCGATAAAGAGAAATAAGGTGTCTTTCCAGGGGTGCATCTGTGGCTGTTGACACCTACCACAGTGTCCATGAACTCCCAAGTGGCCTCCTTGCTTTTCCAGGATCTCCTTGTAGTCCTCTCCGTGATGCCCATGACTTGGAAACTCAGTTTCCCTGCTCAGTCCCCGCCGCCCGATGCTTTGTGTGTTGTTGCACTTGTGAAACCACTTGGGCCTTTGGAGCTACAGTGGGATGTGGGAAGAAAGACCCGGGGTTGGTCCCCCTGTGGTGATCCCTGTACACGGAGCACGGTAGCGCCTCGCTTCTAAAATGAGCGTTTAATATAATGGAGAAACAGCTGCTTGCTCTGCTCACAAGTGTTTTAAAGTAATCTGCTGTATCTTTATAAGTCCTGGAGATCTATCTTCTATAAGGCTTTTTAGTAGGTTGGTAATTGAAGGCTTTGGCAGACTGGAAAAAAAAAAAAAAGTGTGTGTGTGTATATATTTATTTTTTAAGGCAGCGTTGGACTCTTGTTTCTTCTGTGTTGGTCTGGGTTGCTACCAGCGTAAGATGAGATGTAAATACTGTAATGGTTATATTTTGGAAATGCTTGTCACTGTGTTTTACTGTCCTCGTTTTTTTGGCCTGATTTTCTGCAGTTATTTGAAGGCTAATATTATCAGTAGAAGAAAAAAGTGGTTTTCTGCAGTGCTTCTCAAAGTCAGATTGCTTTCTTGAAGTCAGAACTATCCTCGATGGCAGAATTTATGCAAGCTGGACCTTGTTCAAGATCTAATGCACTGCCCAGGTCTGTGCTGGTTGGGAACCTCCAATGGCCCCGAGAGAGGGGGAAGTGGGTGGTTTTCTTTGGGGATTTTTATTTATTTTTAATAAGAAAAACTTCTCCAGGTTAGGAGGAACTCTTATCAACTGTCCTTAATCAGAATAGCTAAGTAGCATTTGGTAAGAGTTCATTGCCCACACTGGGTTGCGTGATCTTTGAAGTAACATTATGAAAAGTGACCTGTGATATGGGAATAGCTGTGGCTCGGCCTTTAATGGCCTTTTCTTCAGAGTTTTTCTGATCTGCTGTCTTGGGATCCAAGGTCCTGGTCTGACTGCGCTCCTGTAGACTTTTATTACTACTTATGAGCCTGATTGAATGCAATATGAACTGTGAAGTGATATATTTCTGTTTCAGGTTTAATAGAATGGCAAAAATAAAGCAATGTGCAAAACTATTGTCTGAAAAACGTGTATAGATTAATTCCATTTGGGAGTCATAGGAGATCTGTTTTTATCAATGTACTCATTCCTTTCTGTTTAATAATTATGCGTCAGTAGTAGAACTTTAATAATTTCTTGTAGTAATTTTGTTTTTCTCATGAAAGCATTATTTGCCTCTTCTGTAGTATATATATTTAGGCTTTATCTGTTTGAATAGCTTGGAAATTGATGTTAAACTCCTTAATCTCTTTCATCTGCGATTCATTGGAGGGATTTGGCGCAACATTTGTTTGCTTACATTTTAATAGTGATGCCTTTATGCAAGTATTTTCAAGCTGGAGGGTCTTAGAAATAAAGAGCTTTGTCAGTATAGCTTTATATTAACTTTCTCTTGTATTTTTCTTTGTTGTTGGTTCATAATATTATTGGACTGAAGTTTGGATTATATATAATCACAGTAATAATATCCAGCCATTTGCTTTTGTACATAATTTTACTCTTTTATAGAATATAGACTTATACTATCTACTTACAGAATAGAGGTAGATTTTATAATTTTTCCTGAACCTGTATTAGAAGTTGCATTATAAGAATCTTGTATTAGAAGTTTCTTTGGAGTAATGGTAAGCCCAAATCAGGATGGATGAGGAATTCAGTACCTTTTGTTTGAGTATCATTCTTTCATGGAGCTTTTTTACTGGTTGGGTTGTGATTTATTGAAGCAGCCAAGTATAAAATCTGTTATGTGTTACTTTGGCTTGGCAGAAATAATGCAAAGAACTGTCAAAGACAAAGAATATGCAGAAGCTGTAATTTCCTTTTTACCACTGAAGAATAGATTTGGCTGGATTACGCCTTCAATACTAATCTATCTCTGTGTGGCCAAACAGATTTTTGGAACCATTCGTAGATTATTTATTTTCTCTTCACTTCATGCCAAACGTTATAATGTCGTGTATTTTTCTGGAACGTGCAGAGTGGTGATGTTAAAGGAAAAATGAAAGAGAAGGAATTGGGATGGAGAAGTCTCATCTAGACTGGTTAAACTGAGATTGTCACTTGATGCAATTAAGTCACAGCTATACTTAGATATTCAACAGTGGGGTTTCTTTCTTAAGCGTTACATTTTGCTTTAAAATGAAGAATCATATTTTAAATTATTCAATAGTTCCTAGATAATGTATTGCGGAATGTGGTGACTGCTTTATACAGTTCAGGTGGCTGTTTAAATAAACTTATTTTCAATCATTCTTCTACTGATGGAACAAGTCTCTTTTTCTGCATTATTTTCATCTTTCTTCTTTCTTCTGTAGCAAGAACACATGAAGCCTGTGACATCTAATTTGATACATAAAATATACCATCCAATCTTTGTTCCCTTGAACATCTTCAGATAGGATGGGCACGCCACTTATTTATTGAAAGCTTTTTGTCTTGAACGAAACAACTAAATGTTTCTTTGTACCCTGTTTCCTTTCCAAACAGATGACAGCATCTCAGCTGCAAGCACCTCTGATGTCCAGGACCGACTTTCAGCCCTAGAACTGCGAGTGCAGCAGCAAGAAGATGAAATCACTGTGCTGAAAGCAGCGTTGGCCGACGTGCTGAGACGTCTCGCTATCTCCGAAGACCATGTAGCTTCTGTGAGAAAATCGGCAACAAGTAAAAGTAAGCCCAGATTTGGTTCATTCTTTCCTAAAAACAGGAGATTGTCATTTAGAATTTTGTCCTTTAGAATGTTCTCCATTCATAACTTCTTTTCTTTCCTGCCTTGTTTGGAAAAGCAGGTATATTTTGCACTGTTTTTTTCTTTTTTTCCCTTTTAGGTATTTTTAGGGCAGACTTTATGGTTAATAGATATTTGAAATATGCATGCTAATTGGACAGTTTGTTAACATTTCTCTGTACTTGACTTCTCCATTGAGAAGCACCTAGATGTTACTAAAATAAAGACTTGTAGTAGAGGCTACATTCCCCCTGCTTCTATGTAAAAATTAACTTTTGTCACCAAATAAGGGAATTTCAGCATGTACTTATTTTCTTTGTTCATCACAGATTATTCATACCCACTAAGTTTCCTATAAAAAGTGGCCGTGTAGGCACTCAGCAATGTGTTTCTGGATTTAACAATACTAATAACTTACTCATTGTAACTTTTGAATACCTAAGATTGTTTTAAAGTAACTAGCTATACGCTGTTTGTACTGACTTTCACATACCTATATGAATACTTCCTTTTTTTTCCCCATGGCCATTTTCTTTTATGTTCTGAGGAGTTAGAGCTCTGAGTTGTTTGAATCCAATTTAAAATTGCATAGTAGCAATCTCCAGGTAAGTATATATATTAGTAATGTCTGTTAGGTCTGTGGCTGAATAGCAAGTTTAATTCACAGTTATAGTTCTTTATAGCCAGGAGGGAGCTATACATGCATGTATCCCCATCAGACTGTGCAGTGCAGAATTCCCTGTGCTCAAATCCATTACTTTTGCCATGAAATTGTTACAGTAACCCCACGATACACCTGACCTGACACCATGGCAAGGCAGAGACCCTCCTTGGCTGGCTGCGTTACACAGATTTAAAATGCAAGAGCTGGAAATGCTGAAAGTTTGAAGTATATCAGACATGGCAGACAGATCAAATTGTTGTAATTAAGTGTTTTTGCAGCCTTTCTGACAGATGGGAGGAAGTGATAATGCTTGCTTGGCTTGGACTCTGAATTCTGCCATTCGCTCTCACTTGCTAAATGACAGACAGTTGTCAACTGTGTTTAGAAATGTAGCTTTTCTCTACACATCTCCTATCTTATTGAGATTCTGATGACTTTCTCTAACTCGGTAAACAAGGTTCTAACAAGAATTTCAGCTGAATCAACTCCGTGATTTTAAATCAGTTATGCTGTCCGTAATGACAAAAGGAGAATGTTTGCACTGCAAAACCAAACAGACTATATGAGATATAGGACCTTGCTTTCCATGCTTATGTGTAGAGGAGCTAAACAGATGGGATGAACGTGCTGTGTTCTGCAAAATGACTTGTTTGGGTCTTGGAGCCATTCAGAACCCTCCAGGTGATTTTGTTTAGGGAACAAGAAATTAATTTTCTTCTTGTGGGCAAAGGAGGGAGTCTAAATCTCTTCAGCTTTGGGGTATTATGTCTCCACCCAATTAATGTTAATAGGAGCATGTAATTTTGAGGAAGGAGTTTGGCGGCAGGGGGTGATGTGCACATAACTATTACATGAACAAACATGAATTATGACTAATTGGTGTTATATTTAATTTATGGCGGAAGTGTCTGCTTTATCTTCAGTCACTTAATGCCACAAGGCAAGACATTAGCTTCATTGTTTATCATGATCTCAGCTCCAGTTATATGGCGTAAAAATAGCACACAATGGAATGATTGTTCACGTACAATCACTGGAATGTTGTACAGGTCTGAAGTTAAACTTTAAGAATGAGCTTGAGATTTGTATCATTTTAAATCTAAAAAGAAATATTTTGAATAAGTGCTTCAAAACAAGACCATACACATTTCTTGTGAAACCGCAGGTGGTTCTTTTGCTTTCTGTAGTTTGGGTTCATTCAATAGATAAAGAACTCCCAAAACGCTTTTAACAAAGAAAAATACATTGCTTTAGGGAATGAATAGGGTTGGCAGGAGATCTGAATTGTCACGTCTAAATAACACCCAAGGAAGTCGGTGCTAATTTTTCGTTTAGATATTGTACAGGTACATAACAAGCCTTTACTAGTTAAACTGTGGTTGCTACAAAGGTTAATGCATTCCTCTAAAAATCTTCTTGGTGTTGGTGAGAGTCTGGCTTTCTGCAGTGTGACAGTTAATGCAGTTTCACAGCAGGTAAAAATAGCCTGTGATTTAAAAATGCAGAAATTTTGACTCGGGATAAGATTTCTCTTTACAACAGCACTGAAATATGTGCTGTCATAAGTAATAAACAGCAAGAATACGTGTGTGTAGATTTCTGAATATATTCAGAGAGAAGTGGTTAATTTGATGTATGGCAAGAGAAATGCGTGGTGAGAGAATCTGTAGAGAATAAAGTGGGTAACTACTTGTGAACTACTTTTGGATTGCAGTACTGCAAGCAAGTCATCTTGAATATTTCCAGCAAACCAAAAGGGTTTAATCTTTCTGAGTAACAGACAATAACTTGGTCTGAAGGGTGTCCTTTCCTATTTGTTGCCGAAATGTGTTTTTAAAACCTCTCGATGCTTTCTATAACCATCTCGGCACTGTCTTTGAAGAGATCTTTTTCATATGCTAAAAATAATTGTTGTGAACAGACCAAATCATGTTGACAGGGACAAATATAGGTCACATTTTAGCTGATTTTTTCTCATTCCAAAGTTGACAGCCCAACTTACTGTGACAAGATGTCATCATCCTTTGTTTTTAGTTTGTCTGAATTGTATGTCTTTCATTGTAAACTAATTCTGGTTTTATTTTTTTACCCCTTTTGTGACTAATTGAATCAACTGTAGTTGAAACTAACTTTTTTTTTCATTATTCTTGTAGCCTCTGTTTTTCTCTTTTCCTATAACTTTTTCTGCATGCTTATTTTGGATTTAGTCCAGCCTTGGTGACGACTTTCCTAGGGCACGGTTTCGAGGGCTGTGGGATTTGTTTTGCTTTTTAATAGCTGTCTTGGCAAGTAGTGTTTCTTTGGTGGGAAGCTCTTTGCTTTTGGCAGCTCTGCACTCTCCTTGCCACATGTCTCTCCGTTTGATCGATGCAGTTAACATTTACAAAAAGTTCCCCCAAAAAACAGATTACCTGGACACTGAAAAAGAAGGAAAGCGTAGAGCAGTCTGGCGCTTGTGGCTGCCAGAAAGATAGATTGGCTCGCAGCTGGTGCCTGGTAAACCCATTAAGATTCAAGGGTGTCAAAACATACATAAGGAGAATTTATCCCTCTGGCTCCGGGGACAGGTGTGTGGCACCAGGAGTGTAGCTCGGACTGGTCACATCAGTGGGGAATGAGTTCTTGCCTGGGAAAGTTGCTGTCTACCAGCAAGTGCATCCCACGTGTCCTCCTGTAGTGGAAGAAGAGTTCATGGCCTTTCTCAGTGCTTGGAAGTAACAAGGCTTGCTGCAGGTTGAATCCTCCAGAGGAACATTTCCTATTGCTTGGGCAGCACTTCAGACCAAGCAACTTGTCTGCGAATTCAGGTTGCAAAGTGACATTGAAGTCAGAGCGTGGCAGTCGGCAGAGACTGGCACCCACAGCAGCACAGTCTGGCAGCCAAGGAGCCATTCATTGAAGAAGACACCTTGGGGATCTGCAAGGGCAGCAGTTTCCCATGGGAAATGCAAAACTGGCATCAGCAGTTCAGTAAGCTATGTTAACAAAGGCTTAACTTAGCCTTGCACTTGTGGCTTCAGCCTTCACAGTTTTAATGAGCATAAATGTTCAGATGATCAGGTACACATTTAGGTGGTAGGTCAGGTAGATGTTTAAGCTCCCGAACGGAGAGGTATAAACATGAAAATGCTCCTGGTAGGGATGGCTAGACCACTGTTATGTGCCATTTTAAGTCTAACTTGGCGAATTAGTACCCGTGTCGTTTTACTCGTGGGAATAGACCAATTGAAATCTGCAGGCTGTATGCTCACAAAAAGAATTACGACACTCTTGGGCTCCTAATGGTTTTTCCAGGTATTGGATTTAGTGCAGTCTGCTCTTTCTACATTAAAATGCTTTATTTTTGCATGAGTTCCTCATTTTCTCCATATTGTCCTTCTCTTAATCTCTCCCCATTCCCCCCCGTGTCTTCTTACTCTCGATCTTCCTCACATACCTCCCCTCATTCAAAGAATCTGAGCGAGAGGGAATTCATGAACTGAGGATCACTACCAAACCAGATAGAGAGAGATGATGGAAGAGGAAAATCCATTTTTATTTTATGCAACAAAACAAGAAAATACTCAGAACTGTAGGGCTGTAGAAATACTTTTAAATTGTGGTGGTAAATGTCCTAAGTCTTATTACCACCTACTGGTCTTCTGGTTTTTGGATATATGTTTTCTGCCTTTCTATGGTTTTTATAACAACATGGACAAGTTCTCCTGAAAAGTATTGTGAGTGATAGAGAACCACCCAACCTAAGCAGAGCAGTGTGTAAGAACTGAATGATGGCAATCTTATTTTAAAATAAAAACCTTATTTTTTCCAGCACTTGAGTGGCTGTTCTGTCACTATCGGAGTGTCACTGTCACAGTGAAACCCAAAGATGAAACAACCATGTTTATCTCATTCATAAATTGCCTAAGGAAGCAGATTGTACCTTTGGAAAATCATTGCAAAAGAATAGCGCTCCAGGAAGGCAGGGAGAAAAAGGGGTCTGTGTGTGCTGAATAAGCTGCCGACTGTCCCGCTCCAAGGAGCAATTCAGTGGGCCAGTGTCTGGAGCGGTCTGAAATTCCTGTCCCAAGAGCCATGTGTCAGAGCAGGGGCTTGGCTCCCCTGGACTTTTGAGAATGCAATACCTGAAAAAATAACTATATGTCTCTAGCAGGATCAGTTATAGTTATAAAATGCATATATCAACAGTTTAAGTCACTAGTTAAAAACCAGGAGAAAAAGAAACAAAAGAAAAAGAAAAGCCTGTAAGTAAATATTTAATCCTTAAGATAGTGGTTTTATTTATCCTTATTGGAGGATTTATCATTACTGATAGTTGTTGTAAAGTCGTTCAATAAAAAGGTATAAGAAACATCTGAAGTGCTGTTTTCCTCCTACATATAATTGCTGTTAGAAGAAAAGCATGTTTATCAAAACTTAGTTTTCTCTTAAAATATTGAATAAGTTAAGGTATTCATTCTAGGTAGGGAATGGTACTGTTTTTTTCTTATTTATATTATTGATTATTTTTGAACTAGAATCTTACTGTGACCTGTGATTTTTGTGCATGTGATGGAAGGAAAAAAATGTTTTTGACTTGCGAGTTCTCAATTAGAATTTGACATTATTTGACAGATAGCTGAATAAACTGAAATATTGAGAAAAAAAATCTCTTCTCTAAAACAGAGTACTTTTCAAACAGAGATTGAACGTTCCTAAGCTGTTTCTTTGCCTGCATCTTCCATGAGTGACTAAACATTCTTTGAAGCTCCAGAAGGAAAGCAGGGACTGTAGTTGCTTTTGTGCATTTTTTTTTAACATCTTGAAGTAAATTCAGGATTTGTCATAACTTCAAATAAATTTTCATGACTTTATTTTTTAAGGAGGAAGTTCTGATATGTTTGAAATTGTTTAAATCTTGAGGTTTTTTTTTTTCTTGTGGCTTGCCTATGTAACTTTTCTTCTGTCCAATAGTGTTAGTGAGCATAGACTCTCCATGGCAGGAGTATTGAACTGGATCTCTGCACTTCAAGCCTTCAGTTCTGTTTGCTGAAAACCTTTAGGCAAATATGTTTGAGATTTATGTTACTCTCAAATTTTGCTGAATACTATTGTAAATTTGTTGGAGAGGGATGATATCACATGCCTTGCATCATGAAAAAAATAAAAATTTCCAATTTAGGCAAACCTTAAAAAGAAATAATCGTTGAGGGTTTTAGTTTGTTTTAAATCCACCTAGATGAGGTATATGCAGAAAGTATTTCAACAGTGTTTCAGTTGATCTGAATTGAAGTTATATGAAGGAGAAAAACGATTATAATTGGGGAAGAAAATGAATTGCTGACTGATTTTGCAGCCTCTCTACCTGAGATCAGTGATTGGAAGTAAAAGCTATTGTGCTGTCACAAGACACATGTATTCAAAGCTTAGCACTGCCTCTTAAAGGTTTCCTTCACCTTTTCCCACGTAAGCTGTTAAAGGCTGATAAAGCATTGGAAGTAGGTTTTTGGTTTATTGTAGTCTGCTTTTTCTAATCCTATTTATCTTTCATTCACACATTTCTAGAGTTGACACATTGATGAAATGCTTCTTTTGAACTCAACAGGTATTATTATATGAAAATTTTCAGAACAGAGATGATTTATCCATAAAGAATTCCCCCTCCTGCCCCTCTCTCTCTTTCAACTTTGATCTCTGAGAATTTGGCTTTTATCCTGATCAGCATCCACTGGCTTTCATTTTATGTTCAGTTTACGTCTGGCGCTTGTTCCAAACTAGCACATAAAGCCGAGTGAGGTTCAGTCTGAAAAATCTCAGACTGTTTATTTTAGCAAGTGACATACAATGTGATATTGGCAGAGATGTGGGAAAACTTAATTGTTTTAGTTTATTGATCTGGAATTTGTTTTCTGTGTGCTGCTTTGTTATTTCAAGATTCTTTGAAGCAAAACTGTTTTGACTGCTGTGGCTTTTCAGTGGAGAAGGTTATAACGGTATTAATTTTTGAGTCCTTTCGGCTGTAGCAATGTGTGGGTCAAAAGCCATGAAGAGAACTGCAAGTGTTTGGACCACAGGACTGACTTCCCTGGAGTATCATCTTCGGGCAGAAAGATAGTTCTGGGTTGTTGACTCCATGAGTAGTGATTTTTTTAATGCTTTGGGGCTTTCACATGCCTTAAACTTGCCTTTCCTTCTTTCCCTCACAGTTTTAAAGTTTAGTTTACATGTATTTACATGTAAATACAGTAATTCAGTTTACATATATTTACAAATAATCATTTGGGAATTTATTCTCCTGTTAGAAATTCATTCTTAAAGATCTTGTAAAAACTTAATGTGCAACTAGAAAATACAACCAATAATTCCTCTGATTCCATTGCTCTGACATAAGTCAGGACTGACAATTTTTATATTGAGAAAGAATTCTTATAGGTACAGTCTGTGACCAAAATGTTCATATTAACGTGCACTTTGCTCACGAAAAGCAAACTCTTTTTGTCCATCTTTCTAAGTTCCTCTATCGTATATACTGCCTGTCTACTATTCTTTATACTTTTCACTGAGTGCTTTGCTTGAAAATGCTTGCTCTTATATCTCCTGATTTACATTTCTGCAAAACTGCTCCCGCACTGGCCGGAGATGCATGGGTCTGTTGTGATAAGTAGACAGAGATCTTAATGTTGTCTGCAGTTCAAGAGCGAATCAGAGACCTTGATACTCCACAAAGCTGATGTGTTACTTATCAACAGAAGTAAAACAAGATTATTTATATACTTCCGCTACTAAAAGTGCTTTTTGAGCTTTTGTCTTTTGTTCTTGCAAGTTAAAAACAAGAAGCAAAACCTCGAAGTTCCAGAATGAGAAAAAGATACTTTGATTGTTGCTATTTTTGTTGGGTGCATTAACCTTAAAAGTAAAATCTGTATTCAACATATGTACATCTTTAAAAGTCTCTTAAGATGTTAGGCAGTTGTAAAGCACTGAGATGAACTGTGCAGCATCCAGGAAGATTGACAACAATCTTCGCAGTGTTTCAGTTGTTCCTATGTCATTGCCACCTTCAGATCTCCTCCATTCTTGTTGGCTTCAGATTTTCAACATATTCTTTCTGGATTTCCTGACCTCTGTCTCAGATGTGCTCGTGTGCCACTCTGTACGTTCAAAGCAGCAGAGAGGCAGGCACAGTTCTTACCATCACCTAAGAACTTCTGAAATCTGGTCTTCCCTTGACAGATCTTCTTGCTCGTGAATTGCTTCCTTAAAATAAGTAGTTGTTTCCCTCTCAAACTACCTGAATTAAAGCTCTAATTGGACAAATTGACCAAATGCTGGTAGCGTTTGCCTAACGCCTCTGTGTATTAGCTTGCCCTTGGTGCACAGATTTGTCCAAATGCCTTTTTCTTTTTTTTAACCACTTGTTTTTATCTTCAGTGCACAGCCTTGTGCTTTATCTATTTCATGCTACTCCAAGGTTACCAAGAAAGCAGATTGTTTTCCTGCCCATCTGTCCTTTACACTGTTGCTGAAGTCCAAGTGATTGATGAACGTTGTGACACCACGTGAGGCAGCAACAACCTCCCTCCCTTCTATAAATTGAGGAGATAGCCACAGAAGTAACCACTGGTAATTGGATGTTTATGAGATGAAGTGAGACTTTTGGATTTTTTTCAGAGTATATAATGCTTCTCAGGAGAAAAACAAAATCAGAAATCACAGGGTGAAGGGGACTGTCAGTGAGCAGTAGCTTGCATGTCAAGACAGGCACCCAAAACAAGAAGCTTGGCCCTTCTTCAAGCTGGTGACACATTGGATTTGAGTAAAATGCCGCAACCTTCCCTGAGAGCCCATGGCAGTGGCAGGTCCAGGGCCATCTCCAGGCAGCTCTTTAAATAGCAGAGCCTCCACATCCGTGCTTGTCCCTGCACTCCCCTCCCGCATTCACTGCATAGTTTCAGACCTCTGCAATGAGTGAAATGGCATCTGCCGGCGGCAGCTCCCTCCGAGCGTGCGCTACCTCCGCTCCGCCGCGGCAGGTGCTCGCTGGCCTAAACCGCAGCACTAATTCCAGGCCTAACCATAGCGTGTGTGCTCCAAGGTAGGGACCTTTTCTTTTCAAGATGGAATGGGCAATTGAAAAAAAACTCTTTTTTTTTTTTTTTTTTTTTTTAAATTTTGAGTGCCCCTATCTGCAAATTCTTTGAGCTCTTTTTTTTTTTTTGAACAAAAGGGTTTTTTAAACATTTTTTTTGAAAAAAAAATGTATTAAATATTTGAAGCAATCACTGTTTGTCAGTAGTTTGAGCTAGCCAATTTTCTAATACCAGCAGTAATCATCTATAGGCCTTGCCATGGATCACAGCTGGAAGGAGATGTGATGTGTTATGGAATTAAGTTATTTCCAGCAAGAATGGGAGTGGAGGGACTGCCTCCTGTCAGTCTGCAGCTCCCACCCTCTCCCATTTTTGGTCTTTTTCCTTCATTAGCCCTTGTTTCTCTCTCTGCATTTCCCAGCACGGTATATCTGCTGTGTCTTGCCCTTTCCACCCCCAGCTCCTTACCTCTCTGTTGTTGTCATCTTCTTATCATGGCATCTCTGTCTCCAACCCCTACTTGCAGTATTTCTCTGTCCTTGTGTCCATGACTAGCCTGTTCTCACCTTTAGAATACTAACATCGTTATGGTTAGAAAAGACCTTCAAGATCATCAGGTCCAAGTGTAAACCCACCCACCCCAATGCCAGCTAAATCCTGTCTCCATGTGCCTATTTCTTAAGAGTCCCATTTGCCGTGGGCTTTCACGAACGTATATTGCCACGTAAAGGCCAGCCTGCCTTCCTAAATGCTGGAAATGCTGTTGTACTCGAGCCAGCTCTGGTAGCTTTTGTTTTTGGAGATGGGCCTTGGGACACAGTTGTAAAACCTTATCTTTTTCCTTTTTTTCTAGGTCAGCCCAGCCTTCGAGAAGCTATCTCAATGTCCTGTATAACCAACGGGAGTACGGGAAGCAGGAAAACAAGCCATGGTTCTTCTTTATCTATTGCCAGAAAAGAAACACTTTCATCTGCTGCAAAAAGGTACCTACTTGTTATTAAAATTGAAATTATATTCCCTTTTCCCTCCACAGCCCAGGAAAAAGCAGAGGCGGAGTTGGATTTTGCTCTGCACAGCCCTCAGTTGGAGTTTTCTGAAATGCAGTAAGACAAGACTAAGCTTTAGAAATATGGCATGTTGCTGGATTGCTTACAGCAGGATTCTAAAAAGAATTCATAAATGGAGACTATTTTTATAGTATGGAGTGTCCAAAATACATTCTTGCTAAGGAACAGAGGGAGCAAATGGATAGAAATTCTTATATGAAATATTGTATGGATTGAAATTCCTTCAGATATTCATCCTATTTATTTTTTCTCTCCAAGAAAATAATGGGGGGGCAAAAAATACTGTCTTGAGTGCAAAGAGTAGATCAGATCTCAGATGTATAAAAATAATACTGCTTAAATATTGGTATAAATGAGTTAAACACCAAACTGTACCTCTTTTCCTTCATGTAATGGCTGCAGCTGCATATAGTTAGCACAGTTCTATAATTGCCTTGTTCTGTGGGGTCTCTGAAATAGTCCTTACATGTCATCTTTAGTCAGTAGTTTCCATCTGTCTCTATTTGGTGGAGAGAACAGGCTGCCAGATATAGCCACAGGACAGAGAATGCGCTACTGTATAACCATGGTAAATTATGTGAGCAAATTCTTGGCCTTGGCGGAGTACTCTGCTAACTCCAGTAGCTGGTTTATCTTCTAGTGTGGATGTAAATACTGTGCATGCAGGACAGGGAAATGATATATTTTGGGGAGTAAAAAGGCTGTGTGCAAATATAAATTATATGAGAACAAAAGAGAAAAAGCCCTTTACCCTTTATAATTCACAAAGCAAGGGTAATATTCTGCTCTTCATTCTTCTCACTTGCATAGCGTTGCAGAGCTTCCTTTTTATTGAATTCTTTATGTTTACTTTTGAGGAATAAATTAGAAACTGATTGCAGAATGTCTCTGCTAGTATGACAGGCACTGGGACAAAAGACATTCCTGCAGGAAGGTATTTGTTAGTTAGCACTTTCCCATTAATCTTACCCATGTGACTCTTGGCCCTTTGATGAGAGCCAGTCCAGTTCCTGTGATGTTCAGTTTGTGTTTTTTTGCTGAATCACCATCTTGATTCATTGGCTGCTAAACATTCGACTACAGAAGAAGAGCAGAGGGATGTTTTAGGCATCCCTCTAGTTCTTCAGAAGGATGTCTGCATAGGTCAAAAGAGGAAACCTTTTGCTTGAGAAGGGTTGCAGTATCTGATTTTATTGCCCAAATGAATCGTTCAGGAGATCGTTTTGTGCTTCCAGGGCAGCCAAAGAGAAGTGATTCTCTTCTTTAAGGCTTGCTTTAGGCAGGAGCAAGTCTTCTCTTTAGCTGTCTACGACAAAAGTAATCAGCACCAAATAGTGACCCTCACAAGCATCATGAGGAAATGGAGCTACTATTTGAAATTCACCTGACAAATTTAGGGTGTTTAAACCTAAAGTTTTTCTCATGATGAGAAGTAGAGAGACCGAAAGAGAGCATCAGATGATCTTTGGTCTGTTTGCCCCAACTCACCCAACTTCAGGCTGGAGGCTTAACTCATTCAGCAGGTAGACCGGGCCATTTGTTGAGGTAGAATTATACTTTAATTATTAAACAACATTAAAACTTGCCTATAGCTTGTTCTAAGAAATTGTTCTCAATAGCCCTGTTGCTTCTCAAAATTAAAGACAACCTACATTCAGTTTAGTATCTGTTTCATACAATCTTAATATTCTCAGGCTATGGCCTGTGTAGGCCTTCTATCTCTAAGAATTTCTTCTATGAATAAACAATTTCATTTCCTGGACAACTTAATCCTTGTTCTACAAACCTGGGCACTGTGAAATCGTGGAGATGATCTGATGACTCAGAAGCTGCACTGCAGCACTGAGTATCGTTTCGCCAAAGGTATGCTAACATTTCAGCTGTCACTTCAGAAACACTAAAACTGAGGCTTGGGAATGTAGCAGGAGCAATAGATAGAGGATGCTTCCTTGTCACTGATCAAGTCACGTACGTGTTTGGAAATGTAAACCTTATGGTCTGGAACTGGCATGTAACAGAGAAGTTGAACCAATTTTGAACAAAAATGTTGTTTACCTTCTATATCACTAGAATTGGAAACATGTTTCTATGTGGTATGGCACTGAGACTGTCGCAGAGAATTCTTTGATCATTTTCTCTTAGGAATAAATACGCTTCTAAAAAACAGCTTCTGGTAAGAACAGTCTTCACATTTCTGGATGACCACCCTCCACTAGAGTTGCCAGTGTTGTGGTCCAAAGGATGAAACTGTGTGTTAAGTGAAATTAGAGAAGCTGCAAAATTAGGACAGATAGTAATAATAGATTTCAGCTAGCCACATGTAGACTTAAGAAATGGCTCATCAAGTTGGGATTTGGAAAGAATTTTTGGATGCATTAAGGGACTGCTTCCCAGAATCACTAGTCTTCCAAAACCCACAAAAAAGGTGCTATTTTTGATTTGGTTTCAGTTATTGCACAAGACTTAAGAGGTAATAATGGGAGAGCTGCTCTGTAGTACAGTCATAATACAATTAAGCTGAAGATTTTAGCAGGAGAGCACTAACCAAATAAATCTGCAGCACAGATATTGAACACCAAGAAAGTGAATTACATAGAAGTTTGGCAGTTAATTTAAAATGGCATTAAAAACAAGGAGAAGCCTACAAGCAACCTGGAGGTCACTAAAAATTTGGCTTTGGAAGGCCAGATGTGGCAATGCAGAAAGAAAATAGAGTGGCCCAGTGGCTCTCGGGGCTCAATGGAGAAGTTAGGGAGTGAACCCAATGGCAGGGGTGGGAAGACAACGATGTGGGATGGACTCTTTGCGGCTGTGTGTGCTGTTGATGGCCCCGAGGAGATCCACGCACTGAACCTGTGGTTTCTGGGAGATGGGTCTGGATGAGAACACGGGGTGGTAAGTTAGGAGATGGGCTGCTCTCAGCTGGTGGCATCCAGCCATGCCATCTGGAGCAACTCGAGAGACAGTCTCACACTTCCTGGCCTGGAGCTTCGGACAGCACAGGGCAAAAAACGCAGTGCGAGGGGACGGCAAATGACGGCCCTGCTCGCAGGCTCTTTTGGGCCGCCGTCGGCCGCAGGGCAGGGCGCTGCCTGGCCCCTCGCTCTGCTGTGGTGTCCGCTTGCAAGCTGCAGCTCTGCAAGTCACTGCAGGGCCTTGTCCTCTCTCTCCCTGCTGGGGCCCTCATCTCTTTTATCATTGTTAAGCCACATTTTGACATCCTGAGAGGAGAAAGGAAAATTCTTCTCCTTTCTTTTTGTCTTCCTAGAAGACAGTTCCTTAAGAAAGTGTGCCCTATCCTAGCAGATTGACTTCACCATGAGTAATTCTGCATTTATGGAGTATGAATTTTCTATAAGCATGTCTGTCAGCAGAGTAATAAAGAGCCTCTTACTATTTTCTTTAGGGACGAGAAATTCGTAGAGTTTACTTTTCTATACTGCATTTCTTGCCAGAGGCTGTAGAGAAGATTACAGTTTCTCATTGTGATTCTGTCTCTAATAAAGCATGCTAAGTCTTGTGATGAAATGATCTTTAGGATTCTAGTTAATCTTCTGACTATAAATTTATTTATTAAAACTCTATTGTTCTTCAAGCTTATTTCTCCAGAATTACATTTATGCCCTACAGAATTGGGGAAAGCACATTCTGGTTTTTTATTTGTCTTTCTGGAAGAGAAAAAAAGATTAATGCGTTATATGGAAGTTTTTAAACAATTTATAATTTAAGGAAAAAATTCTAATGGTCTTTATAAATGTTTTGTTTTTTGTTCTGTTTTATTCAACCTGTTCTTCAGTGCTGCTTTGGAAGGATTTAGAAAAGTTAGAAAGTCTTCTAAATGTTGAGGGTTTTCTTTCAATGATAGATAATATATCTCAGTTGAAATAAGAAAAAAAAAAGGGGGGGGGGAAGACTTCAGATGTTACTAGAATCGGGTCTTGTTTATTAGTATTTGTTATAGTTTCCTGTGGGAAAAAAAAAAAAGTATATGAAATCTGAGTAATTCAGATGAGGGGAAGGAGGAAATGAATTAAGAAAGTGGAAATGTTTGGCTTGCTTTCTTCCCTTCAAAAAGGTATGATTTCTGTTTGTTTGTTTGCCTTTACTTTGCAGGTTACTCTGAACTTAAAAGAAAAATCCCCCCCCCTTTTTTTTTTTTTTAAGATAATGCTTGTATTTGCTTTTTTGTTTATTTTGCTCTCAATGAGGAATTTCTTCTGGAAGATGTCTCTTAATGTTTTAAAAAATATGCTGTATACTGCAGATTTTTTTTTCCTCCCTCCAGGTCCTGGTGTTTGTGTGAGTCAGGAAAGACATCTATAAAAAGTGCCTTTTAACTAATCTTGCCCTTGACTCCATAGACCTCAATGAGTCAAAGATTATTAATAACGTATTTTAAATTAATTTCAAATGTTAACCTAAATAAATCCCTCAATTAAAAATAAGGTATATCCTTGGCTTGTTTGGCAAGTTTTAAAGAAGTGATGAGATAGATTGCTGTTAGTTCCACAATAAGTTCTCAGTGATGGTTTCCTTTGGTACGCTGTGCCGCTGGCTTAGGTAAGCCAGGGTCAGCAGCGATAGCAGCGATAGCAGCGCCTGCCACAGCCAGAAATAGCTCCAGAGGTTTGGATTCTCAAGAGGACTAATAAAGCTCATCCTCATGCTGCTTCCTCGTCCTTGCTCTGAGCCGTGGTCGACAGCAGAGCAAGGTCCTTCGGAAAGCTGAGTTGGACCAAAAAATAAAAAATGTTGGATTTTGCAATGACGTTTGGACTCTGTAAAACCAGTGTAGGATGCAGGGCAAACTCAAAACATATAACATATATGCAGGAACAAAGAAATAAATAAACCTCTCCTATTTTTATTTTTGTAGCTGGTTACTATATCATCTTCTAGCAAAACATTGATAAATAACTAATCTGAACAGAGTCAGTAGATAACCAAGCATCCTTTTAGTGATTTTAAATATTTTTATGTGTATATATATATATATATACACACACACACACACACACACACATATATATGAGTCATGATACACTTCTCCCATCTTTTCAAATGGTATATTTTCTTCCACCTTTTTAATTTATTTGTTTATTCTCTCTATTTATTTATTTTTTTACCTCCCCATGTTATACTTTATTTTACAGCGGTACAGAAAAAAAGAAGGAAAAAGCTCCAGGACAGAAAGAAAAAAAAGAGGAATCTCATCCTAATGATCCAAATCCACAAACTCAAGCATCACCTTCTCCCCAGCCCTCCTCCCAGACTCTCCAAACACACAGGCAAACGCAAGAAAGCAAGGGTTCTGCTCCAGCTAAAAGGTTTTCACAGTACAGAACGAGAAAATGGTTGTAATGATACTGAGTACATATTAGACAGCAAGTCATGTGAAATAATTCCAATTTCATGATCAAGTTGATAAATGCTTAGTAATGCCTGCTTTTTGCTAGAAAAGAGGCATTCAATATATATTGCAGAACTGCAACAGAATATCTAAAAATACAGTGTTCTTTAACTACATTTTTAAGATGAGAAAGCATTTCATTCTGTCATGACTTGAAGTATTAATACAGTAGAGATAGATTACTTCTAGTCAGTTACTCTAAAAACACGTAACAAAGGCTGACTTGATCTTTCCTAAAATGCACTTCATAAGTTGCTGAACAGTGGAGTGTATTTTACGTGTGACCACTTACCATGTTTTGTAACAGCACTTGATAAATGCTAGTATCATTGCAACCCTTCCTTTGGGTGTCTGTCTTCTCAAATTATTCATAATGTGACTGCGTTTTGCTCCTGCTCACAATCCTTGCTAGATTGCAGAATGACCTGATTCACTTGATTTTTTTATTCTTCACGTTCATGAAATCCTACTTCTTACACCCAAATAAAAGAACTGCTTGACTTGAGTGAAAGTAGGGGTATTTTTAGGATTACCCCTATGCTCCTGTTGAATTTGGTGGCAAATGGGCACAGAGAAAATGGTACTGTTTCTTTAATGGCTTTTTAAAATCCAACAAATGGATCCTAACATGTGGGTGATTATTTCTGAATTTAAAAACTATGCAGCTCACTCAATGTGGATTTTTTTTTTCCTTTATTAATGATTCATTGTCACCTTATTTGGAAATTTTGGAAAGGTACGAAATTTTCTTGGCATTTAGAATACCAAAACAGGCTCTTAAATAGATGAAATTTACTCCTCAGAAATTTATTGTAGCTCCCAAGATTATGTTGTCTTGCTTTGCCTGAATTCACAGTTCTAATAAATATTTAAACTTTCACCTGACTGATGCATGTTATAACACTCCATAAAGGCTCTGTCTCCACGTCTTGCACAACCTCTAAGTTATCTGAAGTGCAACTTGTGACCTGTTGTCCTCTTGCCTGGTATCTCACTGCAAAGACGTGCTTGAAGCCTCGCTTACTAATCTTTTGCAGTGTGCGTGTGGGAAGCTCTTTTAATGTCCTCATGGTTTAACTTGGTTTGATAACTTGTTTGTCCCAAGATCTTTTTCAGCCTCTCGAGGTGCTGCCATTGCCAAGCTGCGGTTTGGAACTTACTTCTGCAAAAAGTAATTCTGACTGGATGAAGTGTGATGTTGTTAGCAAGACAGATGCAGACTCTGTATCGGTCAGAAAAGTCATTTGAACTAGATTGCCTTTTTCCCCGTAATTCAGTTATGCGTGAAGCTAATGACAACGAAACTTCCATTTCAGATTGCTGTTAGTGTAAATTGGCTACAATAAGATTGCTAAAAAGCTCTGTCAGAATTCATGGATTTAATTGTCTGTAATACTGGGCCAAACTTGGCTTGTGTTATTTGTGTAAATTTACAGACCTTTGTTTCAAAATGATTGAAGTGATTAATGTGGTTAAGCATGTACTGTCTGCAAAACCATTAGGAAATTGTAGTCTGAAAGAACTGTGCTGATGCACAAAAAAAAAGCTTATTGTTTTAGTGCTAGTGAATAGTTGGTTAATTTTTTCTACTCTTCTGGTTTTATTCCTTAAGTGATTATATAAAAAAAAAAAAAAAAAGACTAATAGCCTCATTTTTTTTTCAGTTTATTAGCAATAATAGTGTTGAATTATAGAGATATTCTGTACAAGTTTTTATGTAACAGCATTTTAAAATGAACAACCGAACAGATCAAACATATTTTGCAACTGTCTGGCTCAGTTGTTTTCATTCATCCAGTTAGAACTTTTTGACTAATATATATATATTTTTTTCCCTGTTTCATGCTTCGGCTTGAAAGAAGACCTTGCTCTGCTTTTGCTTCCTGCTGCTTGATCTGTCAGTTGCACTCCAGCCCGTTATTGTTATATTTTAAAATGACAAATTAAGAAGATATTTTTTGTTTCTTCTAGTATAAAGCAACACTTTCCCGCTGAAAAACCTCACAGTGCGTGGGAGAGCTCAGATGACAGTCAGAACAAACCGTTGAGAGCAGCACCTAAGCTAATAAGCCCAGCGGTAAAGCACGTCGACAAGTAAGTATCAGAGTTCGTTGCATGGAAGCTTGAGTGAACTTCGGAGCCAAAGTAGCAGATTCCGGATGCCTCTGGAATCTTGAATTCTTAACAAAATGTGACTGTAATGTTTTTGGAGGGTGAAGATATTTTAATGCTACATGTTTAGGTTACAGTGGAATTATGCATTAGGCTTTAGGGTTTATAATGCCCCTTGTGTAGCTTCCAACCAATCTTTTCGTAATTAAGAACTCATTTGGAAGTGCTAATTTATTTCCCTGGAATTAATTTAGTGGGTTTGGCAAAAAGGTAAGCGTGCTTGTAAAGTATAATGTAACTGTGAAAGGTGTTCATAAGCTTTCAGGTGGATCTCTTTAATTGTTTAATACATTTCCAAATCCAGGTTCTGGATGATAGACAGACAGATATCTTTTTAGTTTGACTTTCAGTATGCCAAGGTTTTTCTTCTGCCCTTCCTGTCCTGCTAAAATAGGTTCATTCTCTTGAAAATGAGCAAGAAGCCAGTGTTACAGATGTAAACATTTCTCCAGGGCCGCTCTGCCTTTAGCAGTCAGTAGAAGGTATAAGGAGACTTGCATCAACCCAGCTCCCAGCAGCAGCTGTGTCCATGGTTCTGTGCCTGCTGTGCTTGAATACCAGTGAATCCTGCTGTGCTTGGTCCCAGTGAATTCAAACATAAGAGCCAAGGAACTGAATGGAGTTGTAAGTTATCTTGTTAAGTTCTTAGTTATAGAAATCAGGCATTCTGTTGGCTCTTTGGTTGAGCTCTGCCCTATTTGTTGTAGAGCTTCCAGTTTCTGTGGTCTCCCCAAGCCATGGTAGCCTCTCCCAGCCTGGTAGGAGAAGCTTTATCTCCAGCTTTCGTAAATGCAGTACAAACGATCTCCTCCCTCCCAAACCTAATAAAATTCATCTGACCTACTCTTTTATAGTAATTTCCCATCTTTTTAGGATCATACCTGTACTATTCCTCTTAGCTTGCATGAGATTGTCAAATAGATACTAGTAATAGATAGGAGAGGTCAAGAGTGGTGCAAGTGCGTTCCTTTGGTTCTAGGAATAAGAAGAACAGAAATACATTAAATTAATCTTGGAGGGGTGGGTATTGGTGCATTTACCAAAAATTTTGTCTGGTCTGAATAATTCTGCAAAACATAGAAGTGCTGTGAGTGAGGGGCTATGACTTGCATATCCTACAATTGCTCCTTTTCCTTTTGTAATTAGTTTTCACTGTAGAAATGTAAAAGCCCTTTAGCATTTTCAATTATAGTAGAGAGGAGGTAGAAAGTTTTTAGGAAAGAAAAGTCTTGTCTTTGTTCCATTTATCAAATTTCTTTTGTTTCTGGCATGTTGCTAAAATATCTTTCAGAGTAAGTGCTATATTCAAAATTCTTAACATTTTTGCTTTCATTGACATTTTGTGTTTTGATTCAGTTATATAGAGAGGAATCTTTTTTTCATTTTCCTGTGATTCTGGTTATTATTTGAGAGACTTCAAGTGCTGCCTTTCTACAGTCTATGCTGTATCCAAAAAAAATATGTTTGTGCAGAATGTGAAGTTGTTGTAAATCATTAACTATGGTCTGATTGAAGACTGAGTGCTGTATTGATGGTGCACTTTGTTCCTATGCTCAGATTTTTAAGAAAGCAGTATTTACACTCGAGCACACGTTACTTCTCATTTTTAGTCAAATCCTGTATGCCAAGATTCCTCGCAGAATTAGTCCAAATGCATATCAATACATCGCATTCCTAGTTGCCAAATAGGAAAAGTTGGCCTAATCTGCCCATAGTTACCCAGCTCTTACGCAAGGGAATAGGATTCAGCCCCTAGCGTGGGCCCCAGAACAGAAATGGTTTACGTGTGCTTTGCACTACCAGCCCAGGGTTTGAACTTTGTGTAGCGAGTTCGCTCTTTAAGCCAGCACAGAGCTGTAAATCAGTCTGATAAAGCCACCAGAAGGCTACAGGATTCCCATGGCAGCTGATCTTTCAGAGTTTTTTTCAGGCAGAGCTGGGAATCCAGCCTTGTTTTTGTGTGTGGCAGCCTGGAGAAGGGTGAATCTGCCAGTAGCCAGACGTGGCTTTCCTCAGGCATGTGCTTGACTCTTTGCCGCTGTCATGAAAATTTGACCTCTATCCAGCTGAAAATACTGGATGCCACTCATACCTACCTGCTCGGTTTCAAAGGAATTCACTTTTTTTATGCAATGCATTTGCCTATCAAGGGGTCATATTCCGGGAGGAAGTAGCTTTGATGGCAGACGCTAATATTCCTTCCATCCGTTCAAGAAAGGATTGAGGCTTTCCATGAATAGTCAGTTCTTGATTCTGAACAGCAGGCTACCAAATGAAAAATTTGGGAGGCCTCTAAACTGTGTTCCTCAGAACACCTTGTGTTGCACGTTCAGGAATTCTGCATTGCTTCATTTTAGATGAAACTTGAGCTTGCCAACAGTTAACCCAACTTAAGTCCAACAAGGTTAATTCCTAGAGAAATTCATGTTGTGTTGACAATGTATTTTGACAGGTGTTAAATGCTTTGCACGCAGGCCTGAGGATGTTTGGCAGCTTAAACCATTTTGGTTATTGCCCTCTCAAATTGATTTTTACATGCACAAGAAACATGCCCTCTATAACTTATTGTAAAATCTTTTTTGTTTATTGTGTATGTAGCAGTTCTTAGGACCTTGCCATGGGACTAAAGACATTAAATTACTGAAGAGATATTGTAAATAAAATGCTAAGTAGATAAAGATGTACTCTGTCAATCAAGATTAGTTATTTAGTGTCCTCTGCTACAGTCAGGCTCTCACGAGAGTCTAAGGTTGCCAAATGCAATTATATTTCAGAATGAGGTGATATTGGTTTGAGAAGCAATTGGTTTGACATAGTAACGTTTTGCATTTTTCCCCAGGCACAAGGATGGTACGGTCAGCCAAGGTAAATAAAACTATTTATTTTTAAATACTGGAGGAAGTTGAAAATATTTGCCTTTGACTGAATAGTATTTCCTGTAAATAAATATATTAGGAAGTACACTTATGAAAGAGGGATAATACAGAGTTAAAATTGCATTAATAATTACTAGAAGAATTGATTTGGCAAACTGTTACTCAGGACCCATGTACAACTCTTTGAAATTGTGGAGCAAGTATCATCAAATTGGGTCTTTAGGACAGACAATTTTTTGATGGGTGGTGGGAGGATTCATTTGTGGTTCTATAAAAAGAGGCAGCTTTTGATAATTTCCATTTTTTGGGAATATGTATGTGTGTATAGAGAGAGGTCCCAGAAACCAAGTATTAAATTCTGAACTATGTACCAGTCTTCATCCAAGCAGGTGAGAGCGAGACTGTAGAAATAGTTTTAAGATATTTTATTTCTGTTCCATAACCAGCAAAAATGTCAACTCGTGAAAAAAACAGCCAAGGTAAGACTTACGCTATGCCGAACGGTTGCTTTCTAATTTAGCCCTGCCATGAATCTTTTATTTGGCTTTTCGCCATAAAGAGAATCAGTGCATGATCTCTTAAAACATTTGAGCATATTATGCTTTTTTTATTATTGAAATAATTTACAATGGCATATGATATACGTGGGGAGGATTATTTTGGGGCAGTCTAAAATGAATTTGTATGTGCATAATTTCCTCAGCGGAATTATGTATTTAAATGATAAGACTCTAGAAGTTTTGCATTGTTGCCTAATATACCAGAATATGAAGAACTGCCAACTAAAAGATTTTGTTTTATCTCAGCTTTCTGTCTTGCCAGTATTACAACATAAGCGTGCTGATTAGACAAGAACAGAGACTGAATGTTTTAATGTAGTGTCCCCAAAGGAAAAATGAGTCTCTTCTAAAATGTATTTTTTCCATCAATAAATCTTGCATTCTGTGGCCACCTTCTGCTGCTGGCTTGTTCAGACAGGAAAAGGAGCAGTCTATCTGAAAGTGGTGGAAAGCGACAACAAAAGAGATCTGTTCTTTTATGTCTCAAAATAACTCTGCTTTGATGTCCTACAAGCTGTACTGAAGCATGCAGTTTCAAAACTAGAGCATGTTACCCAAGTGCATGCTGTACTCAGCATGTAGATATCTATGTACAGAGGTTCTGTCCTGTGCTTTCTTTGCTGCTGATTAACAAATCTGCGTACTCCGAATTCTGCGCTGTAAGCAAGATGACATTTTGCACAGTTTTTGATTACTTTTGGCTGTTGTTTCTTTCTTCCCCCAAAAATTCTTTCCCTCAAAAAAAAGATATAAATAAAATAAAAGAGCGCTCAGAGTGTTTGAAAGTTAACCTAAGTTGAACTGAGGCCAAAATTAACTTGAATCCAAGTACTTTATTTTTTAGAGATATTACGTATTTTGAAATATTCTAAGTAGATTCTTACCAAAAGCATCCTACAGAAACAATAGGGAAAAAGAGGAATGCACATGCTTGAGGAGTGGACAAGGGAATTTATACACGAGCAGTGGAGAGCAGTGCATCTGTGCAGCGATGGTTACTGAAAAAGAAAACAGATCAGTAATGCCCAGGTCAGCTGCAAATTAGCTTTCCAGAAATTAAATAAAGCTAATGCATCAAAAATACCCCTTCTAACCCAACACAGCTTTTCATGGTGCCAAGTTGCGTACAGCTAAAATACTAATTCTTTCTTTATAATGTGCTTCTACAGTTCTACACATGCTGCCAGGAATGGGCAGTCTGTCCCTTCTGTGCCTCTGGTAGCTCTGATTTCTGTGGCCTCCAGTGTGTGCCCTGCCGTCCGCTCCGTGGCCGCCTGCGGTGTGAGCCTCCGTGCAGTGAGGAACGGGGCTGGCTGTCTATGTGTCCCGCCACAGTCTGTCCTCAGCCTCATCCTGCCCGGAATGAGAGAGAGAGAGAGAGAGAAAGAGGGGGAGAGGCGGGGGGAGAGAGAGAGAGAGAGAAAGAGAGAGAGAGAGAAATATGATTCAGGTGGCAACGGCCTTGTCTGTAATGGAGGAGGGGAGAAAGTCTTGTCGTAGAAAATGCATTTTCTAACATTTTAAACAAATGTAGTGGCAAAATATCATTCCACCTTTAATGTGGACAAAGTTGAAATGACCAAGATCACACCTCCAAAACTTCCTTTTTTTTTTTTTTTCTTTATCTTTAATGTGGGCCAGTGAGTGTATTTTAAAACAGCCTTTAAAATATTTGTATGTTATAGTGGGTTACAGGATGGTGTGTTGGGTTCCACGTTGTGTTTGCTGCTGCAGGAGCAACCTGCCTGTCAGCTACCATACAATTTTAGTTTCCTCTGCAGTATAAGCTCAGCAGCATCCAACCAGGTCCCTTTAGTGCAAGATGCTGTTCAGTGCAGGTGACTTTAATAAATGCCACGTAAATAAACCTACTGTGAGAGGGGGACTCCTGTTTGTGCTCAGATCTTCTGTGTAAAAGCACTTCAGTGTCTTTATGTGCATATAAAACAGTCTTGGAAGCACATTGGAATAGCAGAAGCAACTATGTACATGGGACAGAGGGGTGGAAAGTTGCAGTGCCCAGAGCTTTGACAGTGCTAGAGTCAGCCCTGAGTCAGGCTGTTCCTGAAGCTGCTTTGAATGTTGTCGCCGTGGTAAAACGGCACAAAACGTAGTGAAATGCATTTTTACACTTGTAGTTCTTGGAATCATATTTATCTAGCAGCAGAAGCCATTGCAATGCTGTCTGTGTTGTGATTGTCTGTGTGTTGGTCACTGTGATGTCTTTTGGTTTTGGCTGAAAAGCAAAAGCCATGAGCAGCAAGCACAAATTCATCTGTGACGGGCATGCACAGACAGGCCTGGTCAGCCTTGCTGTCCAAACCATCTTTGGTTCGCAGGCCCCTGCAGAAAACACCGGGGTTGGCGTTTGTGTTCAATGGGAGCAGGACAGTTGGTAAAGGAGCCTCGTGGGCTCCTCAGTTTCCCCAGTTTTCTTCCATCTAGCCCTGTGCCAAGGCCGTGCGTGTTCCCCCCGTACCAGCTCGTGGTTTTCCTCCCTCAGGAGCAACGACCTTCCCCTCTCCCAAGTGGGTTGAGTTGCAGCGACTCTGATGCTGGGCCTGAGCGTGGGCATCTGGACATATGCTGAAGCAGATGCAATAAAAACAGGAACACTTTTGTGACACTAATCCAGTGGAGGAAGTATTAGGCATACTTCCATATGCTTGCTGTAGGTTCCAGAGAATTTAGGGGATTGTAATTTTTTTTTTTTTTAGCTTTTCTTTAAACACTTGCTTTGTTTATCCTGATGAACCAGAGCCGGTTGCTATAATAAAATACAGTACTATAAGGCATCAAAACTCTATGAAAATACAATAAAATGGTGGGTGAAGTAAGCAGCTGCTTACCACAGCATTAGTAGAACATTAGCTAAAGTTATTCTTTTAAATTCTTTACCAGCAGGTGTTTATAATTGCCTATAAAAACCATCTTGTGTTTCATTACAGCAGAGACATTTAGAAAGTATTAATCATAAACCATTCATACTTTTATGCCCAGAAAGTGAAGGCCCTGGTTATTTTAAGATAAAACTTTTTTTTTCTGCTGAGATGCCATATTTCAGTTTGTGTTTGGTTTTACATGATAGCTCTGTACGTGAATCACTTGTTCACTTATTATAAAGTAATAATAGACATTTAGACATTTTTGGATGGCAATAAAAACCATATGTGAGAGAATTAATGAAAAACATTCACTGCATTCCTAAGTTTGTTTCTTTTTAGATTGTCAGTGCTTTATTAGTTTCCAATGCTTTTCTTCTGTTAGTTATGGCTGCACTGCAGCCCTGCAAGAATAGGGCACTCATGAAGCCCAGAGAGGAAAAAATTACCCTCCGTACTGTGTGTCCTGTCCCCTGAGAATGCAGAATCCCCTATTTCAGAACTCTCTTTGAGGCAGATGTGCAGATTTGCTGTCAGATGCTTTCTGAGAACGCTCATGTGTGTGAGGGTAAATTGAGACCCACTTGATTTTCTTATTGCTGCTTGTTCTTTTCTGAAAACCATAGATAGTGGGGAAATAATCCAAGGTGATCTCAGGGAAGTATTTGGGAGTTGTTGTTTTTTCACAATTTTATTTTTTAAGTAGACAGCATTTTGATACAGTTTTACTGAATTTAATGTGTGTATTGAGTTCCTTATTTTTGTGTGTATTGAGACCTTGTTTTTATTATTATTTGTTCTGGAGTGGTAATATTAATGCTTATTTCAAAGAAAATTGTACATGTAACAAACATCTAGATGTTTAATGTCTACTGCTGTAAAAGCAGTCTTTATCATCAATTTACTTATTTTATATAAAGCTGTAATAACTAAAGGTCCCTCAGGAAAACACAATTCACACAAAGGTGAAATGATTCCAAATCTAAATAAATGTCTTTGTCTCATCTGCTTTTTTGGCTTGCTTGGCATGTGTTATACTAGCACTTAATGGTGATAGTGCCACTTCCAGTGGTCAGATGCAGTAAATTCACATGGCATAGGGCAAGACCTGCCAGACCCACATCCAGGCTTCAGTTGCACTCCGTATGAAATACCATATTGTGAACAGTGGCTGAAGTTGATTGCGTTTGGGTCATAACCATTGGTGTAAATTAGAAATGAGCTTTGTAGTCCTTGTTCCTCAGCTTAGTGGTCCTACAGAGGTGGTGGATGCAGACCTGAGGACAGACAGCTCCGAGGAAAGAGGCTGTTTGTAGAAATACAAATTAACTGATTTCAGGGTTTTGATGTGATTCGTCCATATTATGTTCACAAGCAAGTTTGGGTGGACTTCGATAAAAAGCAATAACGATCAGCTTGTAGGATAAAATTATTGACATGATTGTTTCTCTGTGATTTAACTTATAACTGTGTAAATGAACAGTTAATTTTGTTATTTATCTCTTATTTCTGTTCATTATGTATCTACTGACAAACTGAAAAGCAATTTATTACAATACAGAATTGCTGGACTTTCTCAGAGTCTGCTTAATAATAAGGCCTAGAGAGATAAAGTTTTGTTTTCCCTAAAAATGCGTCCTTTTTTTTTTTAGCAAGTTGAATGATTTTGCTTTTATATGTTACATGTTTATACACTTTACAAATATACAGGCAGCTTTTACATCTCCTGAACACACTTCTCTTTAGGTGTTTCTTAGTTAAACTACAAAGATTTTTTTGACCTTACTTTTGCCGCTTTTAGTCCCTATTCATTTTGATTATTTTCCACTGAAATCCTTCTGTAGTCTCCTCAGAGCAGGCTTTGTGGCTTAAGAAGCACTGCACAAATCTCTTTCTGTGCAGGCTTCACGGATGCACTAATTTCAGCCCTTCAGGTTTTTTCATTGCCCTATCTCTCCTACCTTTTATCATCAACAAGTTTTTTCACTCTAGTTATCTTCCACATTTCTTTCTCCGAATTGATGGCTTTTCAACTTTCATTAACTGATGAATTAAATGGGATTGTTTGAAGTTGAATTTCACTGTTATGTTCTTTGCCAGTTTTTCATTAAGGCATGATAATAGGCTCATTTGTCTGAATGGGAAACTCCTTTTGATGTGAGGAGGCTTTGCATTCACTGCATACTGTTGGTCTACAATTTTTGGTTTGCCTCTATTTTGGTCCTGGATTCTTGGTGATGCTTATGTTACCAGCAGTTTGGGTATATGCAGTGTAGCTTCAATTCAAAGCTTATAATGACCGATAGAGAAAAAGGTATTTATTTATTTGCAATCTAATAAACTTCTACAGAAGTTGAAGCAAGTAGTCTGGTTGAAAAAGTCTACCTGAAGCCTACTGGGGCCAATTTTGCTTAATTTTTACAATAATAAACTTGACACAGTAAAGTAGGAGCACTGATTTCAGTGAAGTGGAGAGGCAAAATTGATTCAGCGGAGGACGGAAGGACCTAGATGTTCCTTATGGTTCTCCTTATGGAGAAATTTAAGAGAAAATTAAACTATGTAAGGTACAAGCTCACACATGCTGGAGTTACTAGAATCCTTTTAGCTATAAGCTGTCAACGTGTCTGCCAAAATTAAATGGTGAGGAAAAGGGCTCTAGCATACTAGTTAAACATGTAAAGGCTGCGTCACCTACTTATTATAAAAAGCAAGTGCAATCCCAGGAGGTATCAGAAGAAGTAATCCTGAGAGAAATATGCTGTTTTATGGAATGTGTTAATGCATCAAAGCTCTGGTAGGCATTCTAATACTGTGTGCAGCTGTAACCATCCACATTCATAAAAGGCGGATTTATACAGGTGTGCTCCAGGTGTGCAGGCAGACTGAATCACACAAAAGCAAACTTAGAGATGGATATATTTGTTTGAAGAATGGAATCTGGGACAAGAGGCTGCCGTTTTACCTCCCACCCAATGGATTTTCTTCTGTACTAATCTGGGGCTGAGCTGTTTCTTCTGCTGTGGCACAGATCATCCGCAGCACACGGATGTTCTGACAAGGCTTAGCTGTGCTCTTTGTGCTGGTCTGATCCATGTTTGAGAGGATTTGTAGGACTCATGTGATTGCAGACAAATTAACTTACTGAGTGCCGGGTCCCCTACCCACCTGCACACCTGCAGCCAAAATCCCTTCTGTATGTTCTGTACCTGGGGCACTAGAGCCCGAGCAGCCCTTTGAATTACAGCAGAAAATGGCTTGTTTGGTATCTGCTCCTTTCAGGCAGATAAATAAAAGAACAGTAGAGGTGGGTTGGTTCTCCTCAAAGCTCTTAGAAATTTCTAGCTTTTTTTCCCTTATACCTGCTTGCCTACATTTCGGTTACGATGTGACCATGGAAATCACCATCTCTTTTCTTCCAAAAGGCAGAGAAATACCTGACATAACTAAGACCTAGGGATCATGAGAGTGCTGGGAGGAAAGCAAGACAATCCCATGCACTTGAGCGTGCCGTGGAGCCTCTATGATATGAAGGAGTTAAGCCACTGGTTTTCTTAACTTGCATTTACAAGAATTTGACCTTAGGCAATTACTTGCTGTTTGAGGAATGGTTTTGTTGATATGCTGCCATCTTCTGTACTATTTCAAAAGATTTTCTTACATTAATATTTTATCTGCCCTGCGGGTTATTTTGAAGAAAGGAAATTTACAGTCTTAGACAAAAATCTTTCAGTAGGTTGTCTCTCTGTCTTTTTTATCCCTCCTTTCCTGTAGGGAGAGGATTAATCATGTTATACCTAGTTCATGTGTCTCTGTGTGTTAAACGTGTGTGTTTAAGATTACCTTTGAAGATATGCAAATATCTAATGAAAGCCAAAAATGTTCCTCCTTTAATATGGAAGTTAAGGGGGCTAATATCTACCTGAAAGCATCACAGATATTTTTTTTCCCCAAGTCTCCAAGAGAGTTTTTTTTCCCCTGGCAAAAGACCTGACTAAATTTCTGTTGGATTCTTTCATCTGTCTCATCTGTAAGGTCCTATAGGAGAATGTAATTGCCTCCGTCCACAGAAATTTTGGTTGCAGTTGGTCTCTGATAGTTTAAGAAGCACAGAGAAGTTTGATCCTAAATTTATGGTGTCATTTTGAATGACACCAGATCTTACAGAACCAGAAATGCAAAGAAAATTCAATGTTAAAACAAGGATTTGACTTGCACACAGAAGGGTTTTTTTAAATACTTTCAGGCTCTACTGTATTTCAAATCATAGGAGCCTGAAATTTTCAGATTTTCATAGAAAGATTTTTATTAATACATTATGTGTACCTTTACAGTATTGTTTTGCCTTTGTAAAAAACATACAGTAAAAACATATTGGCTGAAAAATGAAACGGCCCAATTTGGCATAATTATCTAAACATTTGCATTAAACCAGTGACAACACAGATCTTTTTCTTTTCTCAGCAATGTAGTTAAATGATACATGTTTGGTAAAACAACTGCCACTTCTAATTTAGCTACTGGGAAGTGATTTTCTTTGTTCTTTGGTGCTTTGATATTTGATCTGAGGAAATTTTTCTACTGTCGTCAGTGGACAGAATCTCGGGGTTCTGGTTCAAATAATCTCTGTTTTCTTCTTAGAAGACGGACAACTATTTTCCATTTTCTTGATCCACCATCATTATACTGGGATTAAATGTCTGAACTTTTATTTTTATTCATTGCCTTGTAAAGTAAGGAGAAGCTTTTATGCATGTGTTAATTTTACTTGAGTCAATTATTACAGTTTTGGCATAGGAATTATTCGTTTTCCAGCCTGTGATTTTTGCATTATCTTTTGGTTGTATTTGGACTATCACATCAAATTCTGTCATCTTTGCCCGCAATGTCAGGTAAATTACTATGAGGATTAAAACACACATGAAATTCAAGTAAAATAAGTTCTTGGTCTCAGAAAATTGACTTGAGTATACTGAAAGTGAGAGGAAAAAAAAGTGTCACAGTAATCATACCCTTTTAGTCTGGGAATTTGGTAAATTTGATAAAACTGGGATCTGCTTAATTAAAATGGTTATATTAAAACTGTTAATTAGAGATTAAGAAATCAAACTGCTATATACTGGGAGATAAAATCCTTGAAAAGCATTACACTCCAAACGTAATTTGTGAAGTGAATGTCAGACAGCTGGATATTTGATTTTAGCTAGCTCTTGTTCAGGTGCATTAAATCATGGACTTATTTGGACAGGGCCCTCATTTGGAATGAATGACACTCATGCAGTGGTGAAAAGCAGTAGTTTCGCTATATAGGATATTAGACTTGTATGGATTATATGGATTAAAATTATGGAATCAAGAGAAGGTAGATAATTGGATTTATTTGCCTATTTTATAATGAACAGGAATATCAAAGTATAGTAAAAGAGAATTTTATCAGAATTGATATTATGTGATTCTGCAGTTTGAGGACATTTAAACAGTGCCATGACATATGTAGATGTTCACACTGTGTGATTAATATTATCTAATGTGAAATCATCCACTATTATTGATTTGAAAAGGGACCCCTAAAGACTTAAGAAAGGCTGAGGTCCCTCTTACAGTGTATGACAGAGAAGTCCGTGTTGTCACAGTTGTTGAGAGTGATACACATGGAGTCACGGGCAGCTGTTCTTTATTCCTTCCTGTGATTGTGTGATGAAATTGGGTTGATTTCAATGAATTTGTAGTTCAGATTGGCGTGTTGGTTTTTGATGTTATTTATAATAAAAATTTACATGTATTGTATATGCGTGATTATATATATTTTAAAAAAAGCTTCATCATAGCTTTTGTCGCTGTAAACTGTAGTATTCTTGCAATTTAGATGAGACTTTAAATAAGATGTCTGGGAGGATGTACAACTAGGACTGGTTAAAAAAAGAAAACTATGCGGATGCTTGGCCTCGGGGTAGTGAGTTATGGGTCATAGACTTTTGGGAGGCCAGTGTTGAGCAGTGTGCTCATTCGGTCTGTGCTGGACCGGTCCTTTTAGCACCTTGATCAATGACTGGGCGCAGGCAGTGCAGGCTCAGCAAGGCGGCGGGTGGCAGCAGTCAGGGGAGCAGGTCACGTCCTGGCTGGCAGAGGGACCAACTGGGGCTGCCCAAGTGAGGAGTGAGCCTGGTCCTTCACTGCAACGTGTGGTGGGAGGGCAGAGACGACAGGCAGGTGGAAATTCACTCAGATGTAAGGGAAGGCTCTTTCCCAAGCAGAGCAGTCATGTGGTTGCCCAAAACAGCTGGGCAGTCTCCATCCTTGGAGACTTTTCAAGACTCACCTGGATAAAGCCCTGAACAATCTGCTCTGGCCTCACAGCTGAGCCTGGTTTGAGCAAATGGTTTAAGCAGAGACCTCCTGAAGTCCCTTCCAGCCAGAAATAGCTCATCTTCTGATTCCGCAACTGTCTACTCAGCTTCAGATTTTATTTGAGATTTGCTTCTGCTATTTAATTTGCATGTCTGAAATGTTACATGCTCAGTCTGTCCAGAGAGCTGTCACAAATTCAGCTAGCACTTACTGTGCATGTGTACTGTGTGCCTGTGTGTTGTTTCTGTGTTCAGTTTTAAAAATCTGGGCCTCTTCCAAGCTCACATTTTATAAATAATCGTGATGCAAGCGTTATTTGCATCTCTGTGCTTTTATTACTGTTTCTTTTTTCTGTGCTAAGTTTTCATGTAAACTTGCCGCACAACTAATACACATTTTTGTTTCTACAGAGGGAGAATATATCAAGATGTTCATGCGGGGTCGACCAATCACAATGTTCATTCCTTCTGATGTAGAAAACTATGATGACATCAGGACAGAGCTGCCTCCTGAAAAGTTAAAACTGGAGTGGGTGTATCCTATTTGTGACTCACTTTTTCTTCATTTTTCTTTTCTTTAGACTCTAGCAGTGTGTTTTCTGTGTTCAGTAATGAAATCTACCCCCAGGGAAAAGGTTTAAAAAAAAAAACCAAAACAAACAAACAAAAAAAAATCTAAACAGTTTGTAGCTACTTTTAAGTACATTTTAAGCTGGAAAAAAAAATCCAGGCACAGAAAAGCCATGGTTTTTCTGATTTTTTTTTCTTGATTTTTTTTTTCTCTTCTTTAAAATGCTTCAGAGCATGGAAAATCCTGAAGAAGATCCAGAGTTCCTTGTCTGCAGAGTGAGGATTACAGAAGTTCTCGACCCACAAAGTTCTTAGTGCTGTTTAACATATTTCAGCCCTGCAATTAAAGGGTTCACTTCTCGGAAGGTGGTCTGCATTGAACACATTTATTATGTGAAGAATGGAGCTAGTTTGATGTTTCTCATGTTTCTCCAGACATAGCAGGAGTTTGTTTGGTATCATGACTTAAGCTCACTACAAGAAACATGCTCCTGAACATGTTTGGGTCCTTCCCTTGTGCTAGTTTCTGTTGACTCTTCCATTAAACTGTGTTTATAAGAGCTAAGTGCATTCCTTAATACTTCAGTAAAATAACTTGAGATGGACAGCCCTTTAGTTGGTGTAATTGTCTCAGGTTTGATCCTTGTGATGTTGCTGAAAGCCCTAAGGTTTTCAGAAATTATGATACTGTCATGTGTCAAGATACATAAAGGAAAAGACTGCCCATGCTCTGTCAGCTAATGGTATATGCTTATTCTACTCCACCAGTTTCCACTTACAAAAGATTTATCTATAGTCTTTCTATCTTTGCAAACTAATAGGTGTTTGAAACTGATAATATTGGACATTTAGTAAAGAGAAGAGTGGAAGAAAAGTGTCCTCTGAGCTTTTTTGCAAGTTTTGGAAGTTTAGACCATAGAGGAGACGAATTTTTGATTGAAAGTCCTGATCAAAAGAAAAACAGAGCTCTTATCCAGACTTTGCAAAATTGTGCTGCCATGTTTTTCTGCTGCCAGCCCTCTTGGGTGTTGATTCTGGCATTCATGACCATGCAGTGAACTAGGTCAGTTGCTGTTCTGCCTGAACTGTAGTCTTTTTTACTGAGTTATTTTTTTAGCAGGATCCACTCATTAATTTGATTGCTCCACAAATATGCAAGGGCTACAAACAGCAGACAAGGGGAAGATCAGATCTATGTTTTCAGTGGCACTGAAGAGTTTGGACTGATGAAAAGTGATCATGAAATCACACCCTCAGTTAAGTAGGTGCAAATCCCTGTGTGGACATAGGACATACTTATTTAATGTCCAAGGGCCTTAAGTTCAGGTTAAACCAGTTTCCTGCTGAGGGCTAATTAAAGTGAAATAAATCCAGCCTAAACCAAGCTGTCCATATGTTTTTGGAATCTCTTTAAAGAAATGAATCTTATATGTCATCGTAAACCAGGCCAGTGTGTCTCTGTGTAAGATATCTTTTGGAAGATGAGGAGAGGAAGTCGTGGAAATTCGTAAGGATAATTTGTAATGTTGATCTGCATGGAATTGAAAAAAATTGTCTTCAGCTTTGGAGATATAAAAAAAGATCCGGCAACAGAGCAACTTGTACTTCATGCACAGGCTTAGCAGGACGGGGAGGAAACCTGCAAGCCAGCGGGAAGCCCCCAGCACCACGGCAGACTGAGACCTGTACACTTGGTTAATGAAGGGTTGAGTCAACCCTGAGTTTCAAGTAGTTCAGTCAGATTTGTTTTAAATACCTTTAGTTCTTTAGGAATTATCTTCTGGAGGACTGCTTATAATTGGGCTCTCCTTCAGTAGCGCCATCTGGGAAGATACAGTTTCCAGGCTAACCGGTCAACTATGATGATCAACTGCATCAGAGTAAGAAGAGATAAAAAAGAGGTTTTGATGTTTGCTGATTATTGTTGACTTCAAAAAATATCTAAGCTGCTTGGCAGGATTGAAGTAGCTCATGAGAAGGTGTGAGCCCTTGACTGTGGCCCCTGAATGTTTGCACATAAGCTGAGTGTGGATATCTCTGCTTTGCAGTGCAGTCCAGGCTGATGCAGGTCAGCAGTGATTAAAACATATCTGAAATTCCCAATAGTAGAGCCACGGGCTTTGTAACAACGGAGGTCGCTGTTGGTGCTGTTCTTCGCTGCCAGGGATCTTGTAGCATCTTTCTCACAGTTTGAAAGCCAATTTCTGGAGGGAATTTCTGTGAGTTTTAGGGTTGTGGGTTTTGTTGCTGTTGTTTTCGTTTGTTTGTTTGATGTTTTTTTAATGATGCTCTTCCTAAGAATAATTGAAGTCAGTTTTAGAGGCAGTTTCTAATGTGTTGCATGAACTGCATGGGGGCAGTGACAATCCTAGCCAACTTAAAGAAATCACTGTTTATTTGTCCTTCTACATCTCATTTTTGAGATAAAGCCATCCTCTTAATTGGCTTAAAAGTAATCTTTACCATATGGAGACTGTTGTCTCTGAATTTGCTTGCCTGGAGCATCAGTCTTATTGAAAGATTAAAGATTACCATAAAAATATTATGAAAATAAAATAACAATATCATGTTATCTGATCAGAATCGGTCACTAATGTGTCTCTTTGCTCCTTTATTCAGAATGGACAGAATGGAATTGATGTGCAGCAACCCCTATGGGTGTCTCAGATGAAGACTGAAGGGTGTAAAAGGGTCTCTCAAAATACATTGTTGTTTTCCATGCTTCAGGAAAATTCCACCCCTCTTTGGTACTGTCTCATGTAGGAGGGTTGAAATAAAAGAATGGACATGCTAATATAAACCATTTCTTGTGGCTTCATGAGTACCAAAGCTCAGTGGTGTATGCCAGATTATTTGGCCTTGCCTCCCCATGGTAGGCCTCTTTTTATGACAGGCATATTTGTGTAAGTAATTAATCCTGTTCCAGTGTGGATGTTCAAAGATGTCAATCTTAGCAAATCCTTACTAATACACTCCCTTTTGCAAGGACAAACTAACAGGATCTGCCTTTCTCCTCTGAGGTGGTATTCAGAACAGTGTTTTTTGTGCCTCTGCACAGAAATAATAAATTCAACGCCCATCAGTTTTGGGAGCTCTGATTGATTTGCTTTGTTTTTGTAAAAGGGCCTTGTCAATTTCATTCTTCTGTGCTATTGATCCTTACAAGGTAAAAAGAAAGGAAAATGTAGTGGGAAGATAAAGAGCAATAAGACAAGAATGGAGGCATTGTTTTTTTCTGCTTTCAACATTGTCACATCAGCATTTCTCTTGATGTCATTAGTTAAGCAGGCCAGTGAATAACATCTGCATGAGAGACCTCGCATGGGGCTCTGCAACAAGTGCTGTGCAAATGATATAAATCTGTTTTCTCTTCATTACTTCAAAGAGGTTTAGTTGACAACTCAATGCAGTGTCCCAGTTTGAACCAAAATATATTTATGTGCAATGTTGATGCGACTACAAAAGAAGAAAGACCTCTATTGCTGATAGAGCTTTGACTTTGTCGAGGGATTGTTTGGAAGAATGTGGTAGGGTTTTTTTCCTTTTTGGTTGGGTAATGGGTGGGTTTGTTTCTGTGGGAAGATAAGCTTTGTTTGTGAAGACGAGAGACCAGGCTGTCAGTTCAGACTTCAGTTTAGGTACCAAATTGCACTCACATAACTGCTGGTGTTTGTAAGAACAGGCTTCCACCACGTGAGTCTTTGACTTCATTTCCTTTCTGTCTGATCAAACAAGACCTGTGGTTGGGATATTTTAGCTGAAGTTGCTTAGAGTATTGCCTGTATTTTCCTTATTGTTACAAGTGTATTAGTATGCACTAAAGTGAAGAACTCTAAGTTGCAGGACGTAACTTGGAAAAGTAATTTAATTTTTGAAACTCTAGAGCTACTGTTGCAGCATAAGATGGGGCTTAATGGTGTATGAGGACCCTTGGGACTGACATACAAGCAGGCAGCCACATTAGCAGTCTCCATGAAGAAAAAGTTTCAAAATATCAAGTTGTAATAAATTTTGATCAGGGCTAACTAAGTTTGGACTGTAGTGTACAAAATTCTTGAATGCCATCGGTGTCAAAGGGGATGGATGGGTTTTCTGCAAAATCATCTCTTTTATGGGATGTGTTTGGGATAGATGCACTCAGTTTTGCCTTTGCCAGATAGTGTCAAGGCTTGTTGCTTTTAAAATATTCAAAAATATTTTGCAAAGAAATTATTTCCTGAGTTTGGCAGCTGCTTTTTTAGAATCTTGCCATTTTCTGAAGAGCATCAGGAATTTTCCCACACGTGTTGGAAAGACCAACTGGAAGTGCTGCACTTGCCCTCTGGAATGCCAGTGCTGGCATAGAGGAGCCCTGAAGCCAGGGCAGCGAGTATCATTATTGCCTAGGGAAACTTCCCATCATCAGATTTATAAGTTGACGCTTAGGTTTGTCTGTCTTCAGCATGCCTTCTACTTCAGTATACTTTATTTTTATGTCCATGAAACATCACTTTAAAATGGTTTTGTTTCCCCAAATCTGCTGACTATTTTTTTAAACAGTTTTTCACATAGTTTTATGCTGTACTTTCAGTGAATAATACAATGAAGGACCTGTTTTGTGTCATGAATGCAACTACCCATCCTTTCAAAATATGTATTTCCTGGTATACACTGGGTTATGACCTTGACTTGAAACAAATATATGCATCTAGATATGGGTATCGTGGAAGAGACTGTCGAGCCAATGTTTACCTCCTTCCTACCGGAGAAATAGTGTATTTCATAGCATCGGTAGTGGTACTATTCAACTACGATGAGAGAACTCAGCGACACTACTTGGGTCATACAGACTGCGTTAAATGGTGAGTTTGTAGCATTTATATTCGAGTGTATGTGTGTAAATAATGAAGAGGGGCAGTTGTTGTTTCAGTTCTTTTTTATCTGTGATCTTGTTAGTGGCATCATAGTAGTCATTATTTTCTTTTTCATCAGTCCCAGCAGATTACACTGTAGTGAGTACTGTGTAAGTGAATGGTGCTGGAGCAGTCTTTGCTTGCTCATGGTTTCTAGATCTAAACGTAAAACAAGAAGAGGATGCATAGATGATCTAAGAGTGCTAGATTAGAGACAGAATATTTATATAAATTATTCTAAACGGATGTCCTAGTAATTAAAAGTTGTCATCAGCTGAGTTCTAAATCAGTCGTTGACAAGCAATATGGCAAAGGTATATACTTAAAGGAGAATTAGAAAACCAAAGAGAAGACTGAGTGATAGTTTTATGGCTTTTTTTTTAACTAGATGACCCACCCACGTATTAAGACTGAATGGCCAGAAAGACATTTACAAATGAAACAGCAAAGCAAGAAAATTGAACCCAACGTCATTGGCAGCACAAAGACAGTTGCTCCCTTTACAGTGTTAGTTTGGAAAGTGCTGTAAGGCTGTATGATTTTAATAGAGCATGTAAGCTCCTTGCTTTAGACAAGTGGAGGAGAAGAGCTGCTATCTAGCCCTCCTTCTTTATTTATTTTTCTCCTGCTGTGCTCTGATAACTGTAATTGCTTGCTGTGGGAAGAATGCAGGCAGTCTTGTGTTCTTCACAGACCATCCAAAAGACTGATTTTAAATGTTTCTGGTGTCCATCACTATGACTTCCTTAACCTCCCCCTGCCAACACACACTCTGCGTTTTTCAAGGGCTTTCTTCACCCTTGTAACTTGACAGAGAAAGTAGATGAGAAGGCTACTAAAACCGAGTAGGCGGAGTTTTGAAGTTGCAACAGCTTCCCCCCCCCCCTTTTTTTTCCTTTTTCTCTTCTCCCCCCCCACCTTTTTTTCCACATCAGCTTCAAAGCAAAATATGAAAAGCAAAAGCAGATTTTGACTTAAAGGAATAGTGTAACTCATGGGAAATTTTTACTAGCACAATTAAATCAGTAGCTCATTTCAAATAGTGATAATCTCCGACACAGTCCCTCAGCTGACTTCTCAGCTGTTTTTTCTTCCCAGGTTCACGAACAGATTTTAGGTGCATAGCACAATACACTACAATATTTACAAGTATGACAACTGTATCTAGAGGGAACAACCTAAGACAATGTATGTTTGGTTACAGTGGATCCCCAATAGTTACAAACCTTAGATTTGCCGGGGCAAATGTGAAGGAGACTGTTGTGGCTCCTCTGGCCATGTGCTAGCAGCCATCACAAATATCTGATTAAATGATCTGGATCTTCCAGTACTGTATGTAGTAAAATAGTCTAATGAGAAAAACATTCAAGCTGTCTTATTAAAAATGGGATCTTAAGTGTCCTCGTAGGTTTCTGTTGAGAAAACAAATATAATAACTTTAAAAAAAAAACTCTCAATTTTGAAGACCAATGACAGCAAAAGCAAGTCATATTTCTGTCTGTCTTAGTCTTGCAGTTCATCCAGACAAAATTAAAATTGCAACAGGACAGTTAGCTGGAGTGGATAAAGATGGAAGGGTAAGTAATAGAGCTGTTGAGCAGTAGTATCTTGTTTTGAAAATCAGGAAAAATGTTGAATGTATCATCATCACCTTTTGTTTGCAGTTTGTTTTATGCCATACATTTTCTGAGATAGTTTTGTTTTGAAGGTAGTGAGAAATATCTCCAGCAAAAGATAGTAGCAACTGAGTGTTCAGATATATATTAAAAAGACAAAACTTTACGAGTTTCTGCTGTCTGCGGTATCAAAAACTCAATTTTAATTCTGAAAGCAAGTGAGAAACTTCATGTGGCCTCCCATACCAATTACATTTCTCCACATTATCTTCGAGTGTGTCTTTTCCTCAATGTAAAACAAGCCACCAGATGTGTGGGGCTGTGTCTTGCAGCTTCAAGGAAAAAGAAATTGGCTTTGGGAATTCATGAAAGTTGCAACAAGCTTTCCTACAAACTCACCTAGTTGAGGACAACTGCATTTAAATATCCTTGGCCCTGGCTGCTGAAGGAGCCTATTAGAATTGGAATGGCCAGCTTGTTTTTACTAAGTTAAAGACAACAAAACATAACAAAAATAATTTTGAGGTGTAGAAGCCTTATTCAGGTGCCCAATTTAAATTCATACTTCTTTTAAGGAATTGGTGGGGCTTTCTTGTGACTCTTTCTTAAGACTTCCACTGAACACGTGTTCAATGTCCTACTAGGGTTGAGGAGACTTTTTGGTTTCGTTTTTTTTCCCTGCTCACATCAACAATATGGAGTGTTATCTTTTTTATGGAGAATACTGTCATAAAGCCATTTCCATTCGTAGTTTATTAGTGGTTACATCACATTTATGAAGCTAAGCTGGTTTGGGATAATGTTAAAATGAAATATAGCCCTAGAGAATTTGGTTTAGATTTAGTGATTGGTGATGGAGCACTCAGTGACATTGAACTGATGCACTGTGGCCAATTTATTTTTTTATATATATATATATATGTATATAAATATATATGTACACACACATACATGTATATACAAAAATATGTGTGTATATATATATATAGTGCTTAACCACCAGTTTCAGTTAATCCTGTCATATTTATCCACTGTGTTAAAGTAGGCTAAGATTTATTTTTGTGACTCCTTGTGATACTTTATTTCCAGCTATGATAGCAATGCTGCCATGTCCTAGCCTAGACATGGTGAGCAGGAATTGCCAGCAATCTTGGCTTAAAGGTACTCATCAGTAGCATCACCATCACAAGCCATTGGCATTCAGGTCGTGATGCTGGCATTAATAGTAACGTGTGTTTAATGGACTCTGCTTTTTGCACCCGATGTCCTGGCCACGGCCAGTGATGCTGTTTGTCCCGTTGCTTTTGCGCAGCCTCTGCAGCCCCATGTTAGAGTGTGGGACTCGGTGAGCCTGGCGACGCTGCAGGTCATCGGCCTCAGGACTTTCGAGCGTGGCGTGGGCTGCTTGGACTTTTCCAAAGCGGTAAGGCAGAGCTTGCTTGTTTGGCCTCTTAAAGGCTTTGCCAAATTCTATGTAAAGGGGAGAGAAATTGCTGGCGGTTTTTAGATGCAGATTTCTTGCTGACCTGCTTTGCTTTAAAGTGTATCAATAAAGTTTGTAAAGTTTATACAACCAGCTGATGACAAGCTGGAGAGGTGGAACAGGAGAGGTGGAAAAACAGGAAATTGCACATGTAAAGTTGTGATATCAAACTAGCACACCATGTAAACAGCAGGCAAGAAATACCTTGGTTGGAAATAAAAACCTATCCACGGGGAAGTGGAGATTTTTCATTTATATATTAAAAAGAAAGCAAGATATTAAAAAAACATCAGAGCTCCTGTAGTGCCAGGCTGTGATTCCGTCATGCTAGTGAGAGGATTTATAAACAAAAATGCAGCAAAATTGTATCTGCTGTTTCCTATTAAAGAGCAGGAGAGAAAGACAGAGTGCCTAAAGTTGAGAGTCCCATGGAGAGGACCCAATCTACCCCTCCATGTCAAATCAACATGAAGCTTTTTTTTTTTTTCTTTTTTTTTTTTTCTCTTTAGGATTCTGGTACTCATCTGTGTGTAATTGATGACTCTAATGAGCATATGCTCACTGTATGGGATTGGCAAAAGAAATCAAAAGTAGCAGAAATAAAGGTAAGTAATGTGCAAAGAAATATTCTAAAGTGTAAGTGTTTTTATTCTGAAAAAGAAATGCAATAACTTGTAAGACGTGAATTTGGTTTACAGCAATATTGCATAATTATAGTTTCTAGGTTTTATAAGAGCATTATAATACAAAATAAATTTCTTCTTAACATGCATATGGAAGAATTTGGACTATGGGAGCATTTATTACATTCTACCTAGGTCTAAAGTCCATTGTAAGTTGAAATTCCCTAATAGTATCCTAATTAAAAATGAAAGTCTTGGGAATTTTAAGGAAATAAAGTGGTAATGCAGTCTATAGTTTCTATTTTTAAAAGACAGTTTCAGATTTTCTGCATTGTCTTTTTCATTTGAATAAAGTTCTAGACATGGATTCTTTGTATACATGTCTTTCTCCTCCAGTACTTTTGTTTGCTGATAAGTGTGCATGAGTGCTACACTCTGTCAGTCTAAAATCAATTGCATTAGGAACACCCAAAATAATAATTTACTGATGAAGTCTACACTTTGAGATTATCTTGCATTCTGTTACAAGATCAAGGAAGCAAGATACAGATGTAGAACTGAGTAATTCTTTTAATTAAGTTATTTTTTATAATCGGTAAGTCAAGTACTTTATAAACATATTTCTCTATTGGACTACAATTTCAAACAATAAACTCAATTTTTTTGGCCTATTTTGCTTTGATCACGTTGACCTGATGTTAATTGCATACTATTCTGTATGTCTTTAATGTAAACGTATGCCAGCATTTCCATTTCCACGTTGATACTGAATGTGAAGCTAACTGACATATGCCTGATATTTCCGATTTGCCTTTTTATTGACGTTTCATTTTGACTGTTTTCACTCTTCAGAAAGCTCCTTGGTATTTCAGAATTAACCTAAACAATATGGCAAATAAAACTTGCCCTTCGGTTATTCACATTTAGCATTTGGTCTTGCAGCCTGTTAGGCACCTTCCACGACAGCTAGGATTGGTGTGAGCTGAGAGCTTCTACCCTTCCGTTAGCAGCTTCTGCTTTCCAGGTCCACCTAAAGTGGAGGCCTCATTTCACCTGAACCTGACTAATCCTTTCTGCCCTTGCAGTTTTCAGATGGCTTGTGGACATGCCAGGTCCACTCATGTGGGGGCAAGTTTGGGTATAAGAAATAATTTAGTAAGCACAACCATCAAGAACGATGAAATCGAACAAATTTAGTTTTCTAAAATGAGCCTATAAAGGCAGAGTGTGAAGGGGCATATCTTCATTAGTCCCTCTGGTGCTAATTCAACAGTGCTTTTAAGTATATTCCTTTAGAGCAGATGCTTAAATCCCATAAATTAAATCCCCTAAAAGTAAATGCATTGATGCATTTTCGTAAATATTTTGTAGAATCATTGCCTCCAGGAGTTTGAAGCAAAAGTAGTTCTGTAGAATTTTCATTACAATTTAGATGAATTAATTTTTTTGAATGAAACATTACAATTTAGATAAACCAGTCAGTTTGGTATACTTGCAAAATGTGTTGGTAAAATCTTCATGCAATGTTCAGTTGAGTGTTCTTTCATGAGGAGGAAATAAGGTGAAAGGAGGAAAAAAAACTCTAAGTCTTTCAGAAAGAGAATGGCAGTAATTGTGGTATGTTGTTATTCTGTTTCCTCTATCACAGTTTTATTATCTGAAATAACAAACTAATCAATATGGAAAATAACCTGTTTTAAATAAAATCTTCATTCATTTTCTGTAACAGAAGTCTTAACTATTCCATATGGCAGAAGATTGAAGAAAATAAAAAGAAAAAGCCTTTTTTTTTCTTTAAAAAAAAAAAAAAAAAAACCTTGGGGTTTTTCATGTGGGTGTAAAAGCTAATGTTCCATCCAAATAAATGTTACTTCTGTTGCTCTTTCAGACTACAAATGAAGTTGTACTTGCTGTAGAATTCCACCCAACTGATGCAAATACCATAATAACATGTGGCAAATCTCATATATTTTTTTGGACGTGGAGTGGCAATTCATTAGCAAGAAAACAAGGGATATTTGGGGTAAGAATGCCTTTTATATTGGGTCAGATTTTAAGTCAATGGAGAATGGTCTGCACATCCCAACCGCAGACTTGCTCCTTTGTTACCTTAGCCTATTTGAGCAGAAAGGATAAAGAAAAAGCTTTATTTGTGCTTATATGGATGCAGGGTTGTATGGGCATGGAGATGTTATGCTAATTACAAAAAAAAGTGCAAGCATTTACTCCTTTTCTTTGCCTGTTTTGTTTCAGAAATATGAAAAACCCAAATTTGTTCAGTGTTTGGCTTTTTTGGGAAATGGTGATGTACTCACTGGAGACTCAGGTGGGATAATACTTATATGGAGCAAAACTACTGTAGAATCTACTCCAGGAAAAGGACCTAAAGGTAGGATGGATTCACAATTAATCACAGATTAGACAGGCTGTAGAAGACAAACATTTTGAAGATTGCATTAGAAAAGGAATAGGAAAATTGGCCTGGCTATGAGTGTACACTTCCTATTATAACAGGTGGAACTAAACTATTTCAAGTCTCATGAATTTATTAGTTGACTTAATAGCTATTCAGAGTTTCTCATCAGTCTATGAGTCTGTGCCCAAAGTTAATGAAAACTACTTGAGTTAAATGTTTTGCATGGAAAAAAAAAAAGTGCAGTTAATCAACTTTGCTTTCATCCTGTGATTTGAAAGAGGCTGGGGGATCAATTTAAGTGCTCTGTGAGCTGCATTTGTCTGTCAAATATTGTGTTGTGTCATGCTTAGTCTCAAAAGAATACCAATAAAAGTTGATGCTGATGTTAAGAGGACTTGTGTGTGAAGGAAAAACATAATGCAGAGCTGTGGCAATTACACAAGTAACATGGTATTGTATCTGGTTAAGCAGATGCTCAAATCCTGACTGTAAAATATACTCTAAAACCCATTTTATTTGGCATTTGAGTTAAAGTTTTCTTTGTAGAAAAGAGAAGAAAAATGATTTGTTACCCAACATATGCAAACCTGGCACAGTTGAACCCTAAGGTAACTTTTAAATTCAAGTAAAATTTATTTAACTTGGCAGCTATTTCAAACACTCTGGTTTAAATTGGTATGCCAGGAAAACAGTCATGTAAAAAGCAAATCTTTAACGGTAAGTCTGCTTTTGTAGGTAAATCTTTTTCTTGTCTTTCAAGCTAACTGCAGTGGAAAAGTAATTCAACAGATTATCTGATGTTTAATTCTGAAGTTCTTTTGTACAAAGTAACCTTTTCCCAGAATAATCTTGAAGGATTTCAAATAGAGCTTTTATTTCCATTGGCTAAATTGAATGTGGGCTCTTTTAGTTGATTTGTCATACTAAAGCAGTCACAGGACTTTATCACAAACTTATTTTGGCAGTCAGAAAATATGCTGAATGGAGGCATAGGCAGAGTTGACTCAGTTGCGTTGGCATTTACCAGGGTGGTGTATTAGGCTTTTTTTGTGATTCCTCTTTGTATGCATACAAATCTTGGAAGCCCTGGATGGTTTTATTTATTTATTAATAAACTTTGCCACAGTAGGCAGCAGTTCTGTTCTAAGGAAGACTCAGCTAGGATGCAAGAGTCTTCTATTTTTTCCATGATGCATTGATATTTAATTTTCTCGCCTTTTTTCATTCTTCCTCGTGTTTTTCCTTTGGGTAAGCTACTGTATTGGTAGATGCCAAGTGCTGGTTATAGTGAAGCAACATCCAGCCTGAGTTATTGGAATCAAGCATTCTGGAAACTTTGCTATAAATAATCTGCTTTTTTCCATTTTTATTCCCAGAAGACAAGTCTAAAGCATCTTAAGAGCTTTTTATTTCTTTTTTTTTTAAGTAAAATAATTCATTTCTAAGAGTTACACACTAAACATTTTTGATTCTTGAACACACTTCTTCTGAAGACAGTTTCCTCTTGCGGGGAAAAGTTATGAAGTATTTTGCAAGCAATTATGTTCCTGCCTTCAAAATAGGCTTAGGATAGTCACAGTCTCAAAAAAAAAAAAAAAAAAAAAAAAAAAGTGTTCTCTTTAGAAAAGCTGGGCTTTTCGCTTATCTTTTTATCCTGTAAGAAAATACTACCACCTTGTGTTTGTAATACTAATGCAATATTAACCAGGTGTCAGTCTCAATGTAATTACTTATTATACACTACTGCTTTTCTCTTGTGCCAAGATGCACTGCTACTTATAAGCTCAGCTTAAAAAAAAAAAAAAAAAAAAGGTAGGACTCAATATTCTTTTTTTTTTTTTTTATGCATGTAGGAGTATATCAGATAAGCAGGCAAATCAAAGCCCATGATGGCAGTGTGTTCACACTCTGTCAGCTGAGGAATGGGATGCTGCTAACTGGAGGTGGGAAAGACCGCAAGATCATCCTGTGGGATCATGATCTGAATCCCGAAAGGGAAATCGAGGTGAGAAAGCAGGAAAAGAGTGAAACTGCATTGGGCGGTGTTTTTAGCAAGTGAGAGCTCCCGCAGCCCTCAGAGGGACCAGTATTTAATACGACAGTATTTTTTTCTCCTCTTCCTGTGTGGATGATGGTATTTTGTTATAACAGCGTGTCAAGTGCCAGCTTATATATGGTACCTTCTGAGGTTATTCTACTTTTCTGTTTAAGCAAGTGGAAAATTTAAGTTTTCTTCTCTCCTAAAAGCCTCCTGACTTCCTCTTTGTTTATCCCTTTTCTAAAGATGTTCCTTAGTGTTGGCTGCATTTTCTTTCTTTCATTAAGAAAATGAGGACTGCGACTACAAGATTTTTCTTAATTTTCAGAATCTCTTCTTTTAAAAAGTAAATAATTCCTATATTTATAATGAGTTGCAGAGGTGTGAAGTGCATTTAATGCACTTGACACCTACAAATCCACAGAACTGTTATTTTTTTTTTTTCTACTGAGACCTATGAAAATTATATAATTGTGCTTGTTTTGGAGCGATTTTCTCTTGTATATGCCTGTACGGAATGAGGCAAGTTTCAGGTCAAATCCTGATTGAATGTATAGGGATTAGATTATTCCATTTTGCAGAGTGTGTGGCAGTTCTGGTCTTGTTGTTGTGCACTATTGTAATTATGGTCTTGAGAAATAAATGCCTATTAAGATCTATAATGTGGCTTTACTAATGTTTGTTTTTCCAGGTTCCTGATCAGTATGGAACAATCAGGGCAGTAGCAGAAGGAAAAGCAGATCAATTTTTAGTGGGTACTTCACGCAACTTTGTTCTGCGGGCAACATTTAATGATGGTTTCCTGGTAGAGGTACAGGTGAGATTATTTTTACCTCTTTGTTTTTTAAGCGTAATCCAAAAATGTGAATTGCAAAGGCTTCCCTGTTGGGTGTTTGCTTTATTCGTTGTTAAATTACATGTTTTTTCTTTTTCAGGGGCATACAGATGAACTCTGGGGACTGGCATCCCATCCTTTCAAAGATTTATTTTTAACATGTGCTAAAGATAGACAAGTTTGTTTGTGGAATTCTGTGGACCACACACTGGAATGGACCAGGCTGCTAGATGTATGTGAACTCTTTAATGTTAAATGCAACACCGGAATATAGGAGAAGATGTCATTTTTGTGAAACATTCTTATTGTGCTTGACTGCAAGGAAAAGCAAAACATTCCATAACTGTGACATTAAAAACGACTATTTGGAAGTTTATCAAAACTTAACAGGATACCTCAGTCATTATGTAAATGGTAGCCTGATGACAATGATTCCATTTAGCCATATAAATCAGAATATAGTTTAAAATCTGTCTCGTTGTTGTTACAATTTAGCTTTTTTACAACCATTCAAACCATCTGAAGGGGTTGTTTTATCAGTGCAGGTGTGTTAGTCTTGGCTTTAGACATCTTTCCTTACTCTAAATTTTTATATCATATCTTAGCTAGTAACCTACAAATACACCTTTTCTTTACAGAAGAAGAAAAAAAAATGTGTTACCTGCAAGAATGTCATTTAATAATACACTCAAAAATTGCTTTGAGGACTATAAGCATGCTGCTAAGCAGCTAATTTCACTCTTTTTATTTTTATGCTAACTTGCATGGGATTTTTAGTCAATTTTTTAAATATAAAGAGATGTTTATTCCTGTAGATAAGCTGGACAGTAAGTTAGTAAGTTACCTGCTTCTATCTCTGTTTAGGAACCTGGGCACTGCGCTGACTTTCACCCAAGTGGGACAGTGGTAGCAATCGGAACACACTCTGGAAGGTAAATACATTTTGATTAAGCTGTGATGATGGAAAATTTAAGGGATATGATATAATATTCGGGTTTTTATTTATTTGGCTTCATCTGCCATTTGTTTTTTATTCTTTTGTATAAATCATGAACATGAATCATTGTTTCATTAATCATGAACACACACATTTTGCTTTTTTTTTTTTTTTCCTGTTGTTCATGAGCACTCTCTGCTGAGGTTACCAAGAGTCATATGTCATAATTGAATGTGCTACATCTTAGTTTAGGAATGGAGTCCATCACCGGTCTTCCCTCCTCCACCTCAAACACACGTTCAATCTGCTTAATATAGCTGGAAAGGCAGCTGAACAGAGCTAGTGTTTTGACTTTGTATAGACAGAGTCTAACTTTGTGGCACTTTGCTGTAATGCACAATGAAGAGCTGCAAATGTTGGGATGTCCAGACTCATCCTAATACCCTTGCTTATTTTAAAGCTGTCTGAACACAAGCCAAACCATGGGATGCAGGCATCTTTTAATGGTGGAAAAAAAGGTCTCAATTCATATTTAAGCTCTCTTTGGCTTGGTATCGTCTCCCAAGAAATGTATCTTATGCAAGGAATTTTTAGCAAATAACAATTAAAAAAAAAAAGTCTACTAATAACATTAGAAAGGCCAGAGTAGCCATTTTTAAATCTACTGCCCCTCTCATTCTGTCTCAGTCCTACTTTGTGATTGGCAAGTCAAAACTAAAGTAATACATAGTTAATACATAGATTTCTTTTTGTGTAGTTTGTCCCCTGGATTCTTTTTTAATTTTTTTTTTTTTAACATTTTTAAACATTCATTTAGGTGTTAAAACTTAGTTTTTTTTTCAGGAATGCTAAACAATGGGTTGTATATGCTCAGCAGTTTTTAAAAAACAAAGTTAAATGCTTTTCAAGGATTTTCTTTCCTTCAAAATGAAGATCAAGTCTGCAATAAATTTGTTACATGTAAGATCAGGCCAGAAAACCTAGTGCAGCCTCCTAAATAAAATCTGACTGGGCTCTTTTATAGCCGTACTCCCACCTTATGCCTTTTTCTTTTTGTTGTGTCTTTCTAATGACAATGTTAAATTGAACCAGTGTTTCTACCTCTGCTAGACACAGCAGAAGATATTAGCCTTGTAATACTTGGTAGTATATATAGATATATTTTTCCTCACAGTTTTTCATTACATTTTTAATTCAGTGCATTTAAGTTTAAACTCAGATTTCTAAATTACTTGAGAGCAGTCCTTTTATATGATATTGGATATGTTTATAATCGCGGCCGTACTATTTTCTTCCTGTGATCTTTTTGGACTGAAGCTGTTGTTTCCACTATTATATTTTATTGCCTTCTGTTATTGCGTGAATCAGTGATAGGTTTGGTATACACAGATGAAACTGAATTGAAATGAGGTCTGGTAAGTGTACAAGTGGATGAGAAATAAATGGAATTGTGAAACAAGATAAACAGAACGGTTTTAGATTTACTGACTAACCGGCGATATCATGTGGTCCTTTCCATGCCAGATAAACCAGTTGCAGGGAGTTATTTCCTGGAGGAATGAGATTTGCCCGGTATATCTGGCTTACTGTAAGAAAGGAAAAAAAATCTCTGAAGCCTTAACTGTATAATAACTGACTTGATTCATACCCCAGGGCCCATAAAGCAAACACTAAATGGCTCTAATCTGCTTAGAATTCAATACACCAAAACCTTGTAGGTGTAATATTTATTACAGCTCTAGTGCCACGTTGCTTCCAGCATAGAGACCAGTTAGACGGGGAGAGGGAACGGGGCACGGACGAGGCTGGGCTTGAGGGTTAAAATTCTGACGTCTGAAGAAGACTCTGAAGTCTGAATTTTCCATCTCTCTTCACATGCTCTGGTGTTCCACTGTACTGTGTTTTTATCGGCGCTGACATGTGATGTTTCTGGAGTGTATTTTACGTACCGCTTCCCAGGGTGTGTATTTCAGTATCACTTGTCTTTTGGGACTTTCTCCAAATGTTCTACTGCCTGTTTTCTTACCGTTTTTCTTTAAGTACCTGCTGTGTGTCTGTTCATCAGTTGGCTACGCCTGGACAGGAGAGAGCTAATATTTTTTGGATCCTGATGTTTGCTGGATATGCACAGCTGAAAAAATAGGGAGGCCTAGCATTCAGAAATCCCACCGGAAAATTGGGTGTTTCAAGGTACTGCCCAGCCTATTGTGCCATGCTGCCAGTGGGGATATTTGCAGGGAAGTAGATCTTCCTGTGACTAATCATGGAGAGTATTTTGAGTGCTGCTGATATAAGTACTCAAAAGCATTGCAGAAGAAAAAGGCTGCTAAGCTTCTTGCAAAAGTCACTGGCACTAATAAGGAAGCGGGAGGCTGGCAGGCACGACCAGCTCAGCCAAAGCCCCGGGGAGGGCAGGTGGTCAGTAGAGTTGTTCAGGTTTACACCAGTTCAGCATCTTTTACGGTGAAAAGGGGAAGAAACCTAAACAACCTGCACTCGAATTAGCCCCTTGCAGGTCCCATATTCAGTATTACATGCTGTAGCAGTTGCAAACATTAGTGCGAGAATATGTTCCTGCTTTGGAATACTCTGTTTCTCCAGTGCTTTCATCATTGAGAGGAAAAAAAAAAAAAAAAAAAGGTATTCACAGATGTAAGTTATCACTAATTCATGACTATGTCATGAGTCATAGTTTGGTTTCCAGCTACTTACAGATTTTTTTTTTTTTAACTCTAAGTAACTAATTTATGTTCCAGGTAGAAAGGTTATTTAAAATTAAAATGTGGAAAATACAAAGGGAGTGGGAAATTAAAATCACAAAATTTCTGAATTGCTTGTTTTTACTCACAAATGTGTTATCTTCAGTAACAGCTAGAAGAAAATCAGGAAAAGCCAAAGCTTTTTCACAAGCAGGACATCACTGGTGTGGTTATTTCATCTGGTCTGCAAGTCCGGGGGTCTAAGAGTTCGCTTGGCAGCCAAGCTTTGCGTTTCATGGCCCAGAAGAACTTCTGCAGGGTCAGCAGCCGTTTGCTTGCTGCATACACACGTTTTGGGAGCAAAACACTCACAAGAATGGCAGTTGTATGGTGGGACCCAGCCGTTTGTAATAACAGCCTGCTGCTGCATTGCTGCATCCACCAGACTAGAAACACCCTTCATGGAGCCTGGCTTTCCTGCTGGCAATCCCAGTGTGTCCCAGCCCTGGGAGACCTTAGGCAGTTGAGGAGAGTGTGTTGGGTTGCAACTTGAAGAAGCATCAAGGAGCAGTTGAACTAGACGTACCCAGCACTGCCTTGCTAAAGTAATATCAAAATTGTTGTCCTGCACTGGCGACCTTTGCAGTTGGCGAAGTTTGCCTGTAGGATTTTATCTCTTCTCTTGGGTTTAAAAAAAAAAAAAAATCTGGAGAAGAGGGACAAATGTCACAAAATACTACCTCTCACACCAAGTACTCCAGTGTGTCCTCCAAGAGCAGCAGGAGTTTTGTGCTGTGCTTAATGCTGTGCAGTATCAGCTCAGGGCTTTCAGCCCTGGGATTGGTTTGCATGTTTCTTCTGTTTGCATTTTAGGCTTGTGGGGTTTCTTTATGTCTTAAATAAGAAAGGTTGAGTGGGGCATTGCCCACTACTTCAGGGCAGTGGCAGAACAGCAAAGGGCACTCGGGAAACCAGCTCGTAGCATCAGCAGACGTTCTGAAATTCTGGGCCAATGCGAAGATAAAAATGTCCCTGTCCTCGCTGCCCCACCGCATTTTTTTTGTGTATTTCCAAAGTGTCGTGGTCCGTCGAGGAGCCCTGTTGGCTCTGATGGCTCTGAAAAGCACACACAGAAAAAAAGACCAGTGCAGAAGTGCGCTGACTTCCAGAACAGCTTCTCGTGTTTTGTAAAAGTAAATGACTCTATCTTGATGATGACTGTGTTCTTTCTTCACGTATCCATTGTCACTCCATCGGGAGGGACTTCTGGAGCAGTTTTGTTGTTGTGATGCAGTAGTTTTTCTGTCAGTGACAGCAAAGTGGTGTAACTGCCCTCTTGTCCCTTCTGCCTCTCCCCACCCTGATTTTGTAAGTGCCTGCACCACTACCTGCCTTATCAGACAGATATAAAAGTAATATTTTATTGAAACTTTTGACAGAAGCAGGCAGGCAGGGTTTGGATAACTAAATAGCAGAATAGCAATTTGTATTTTCTTATGCATTACAGTAGTCTATAAGGTTTCAGTGTCCAGATTGGAAGTAAGCAAAGGTCCACCTCTTACATTGTGGTGCAGTGATACTGAGCATGGTTTTTTTTGCTGTCCAGTGAAAACATATTAGCTGTTTTCCACTGTTTCCATCTGTCTTGCACAGAGATTATTCACCAGTCATGTTAGCCTAGATACTTTTTTTTTTTCTCCTGTGTGTTTATATTGTTTAATTTATTTCTTTCATGTGGTTCTCTAACCACAAATTGGTTTTCAGCCATTGGGACCAGTCCATTTTCCAGATATCCAGGCTTTCAGACATGGGATCAGTGAGAGCAAGGTTCTCTGTTCCATCTTGAGAGCTCAGCTATGTGTGCTCTTGCTCCTTATAAGTTATATAAGTTTGTTTTGGAATAGATGGCCTTAGTTTTAACAATATGCTTCTTCCATTAAGTTGAATATTAGATATCTGTGTGCTACACAGTGGGTGGAAATGGTTTACTCATTTCCACAGTATGTGAATTCATCACTTGCCATTAGATACAAGCTCCTAGCCTTAGAATCTGAACATAGTTTTGAAATCAGAGCTTGAAACAGGAGAAATTTAATTCTGAGGACAGCTTTAATAGGTTTAGTCATGTTAACATCTTGTATTTTCATGATATACTTGTGTATATTAGTGCTCTCTATGGGCTCACAATTCAGGAAGGCTTTTGGAGGACTGGACGTAGACCTTAGAAGGTCGGGCTCTGGGTGCCTTCATCCTTCAACACCTCTTGAGATTTCTCGAGTAGATTTGAGATCCTGCATGCTTGATCCTGGGTTAGAAACTAATTTAGTTTCCTTGATCTGTGTCTACTTTAAAATCAAGAGTCTAACATTTGTAAACTAAGCAATGAACCTTTTCCTCCCTTCATAGGAGAGTTGTGCTTATTGCTATGTGTCTGTTGGATTTGCAAATGTGAATTGCTGCTATATTAATTTGTGCTGGAGCTGCCCAAATTACTATTAAAAGATAGCATGTCTTTTAGGTGGTGTTTTGTCTTCTAGGTTTTGTCATTTCAGATTGCTTCTGCAGGTTTAAAATAAAAACTCTCAATTGGATTTCTTATTCCTAATATTTCTTAACTATTCCAAACTAGAAAAACAAAATTTTCTTTTACTCTGTAAAAGAAAATTCATATCCTGCCAGAGCAGTTTTGTGTAACTACACTAGAGTTATTTATTCTGAATTCATAACTAATATTGTGGCATAGAAATTACTCTTAAATGAATAATAAAAAATTGCTGTATGCAATTAATTACCTTAGTTATATAAATGATCCAAGAAGGAAATAGAAGAAAAAGCTAGGTGACAGGTAGACTTTAGTAAATGGTTGTTCCATCTTAACTGTGAGAAAATCGTTCACAGAAATGGAAAAGACTAACAAAAAAAGTCAAATAAGACTTGACTTCGTGTTTTAAAATGAGCACGGAAATGCTTTCCACTTCTTCCTGCTCCCACTGTTTTTTCAACTTTGCTTCATACAAATGGCAAGATTAGTTCTGAGAAATAGCTTTGATTTATAAATAGGATAGAAACTGTAGATTCAAAATTCAGCTGTAGCGTTAAGGCTTCAGACTGCTAAGTTGCAGTTATATTAGCTATCCAGTGGTGTGTTTATCATCCAGTGGGCATTTTGTTGATTATTACAGTGGTAAAGAATTAAAAATAAATAAATCTGTGTATAGGATTTCTAACTATTCTTCTGTGAGATTTATATCACTTTGTGAACCAAAAAGGCAGTGTGTTAAAGACGGATGTTCACCCTTGAAAAGCTAGCATGAGAATAAGAAGAAAGGCAATAATCTTGCTCTTTTTCTTGCTGTTTTTGTCTGGTGGAAATGGTACTCACTGGAATTCTCCTCTTTCTAGGTGGTTTGTTTTGGATGCAGAAACAAGGGATCTGGTTTCAATACACACTGATGGCAATGAACAGCTCTCAGTGATGCGCTACTCAGTAGGTAGGCAGACTTCTTGTACCTTCAGAATGATTGAATGTCTTAATTTCTGATAAATTATTTTCTGTTAAGTTGGATTTACCCATGCCATATTACTGTCAGTCACCCATAAAGGCAGAACTTTAACAAAATGGTGTAAAATGATTAATATCTACTAGAATATTTTGTTACAGGTGTGTGTACGCTAAATTTTAGTTTTGTGACTGCAAAAGTTAGTCGCCTATCTCAGCCTTTCACTTATGTTGATCTGTGTTGTTATAACAAATCTTAACTCTACTCCTAGAAAAGTAATAATTTGCAACTAATTACCTGGAAACTTAACAGAGAAGGGGGAGCTATTAATTTTTACACAGAGAGGCTCTAAATAGCTTTCAATAATATATATATAATATATATACACATATACACACATGTGTATTTAATTTTCAAACCTTATTACTATAAAACCGTAAAATTAAGTTCAGTTCCGTCTGATATGTGGAGTTGTTCACTCTAAAATATTTGCTCTGGGATTATATGGATTGCAAGCCAGTACTGAGTCTCCTCATCAGACATGACAAATCATCAAAGGCTGAGTCTTCACTGTTAAAACTCAGTGGAAGAAGAATTTCATAGATCTGTTTCTTGTTTGCTTTTGGAAGAAACGTCACGTCAATGGGCATTACTCTGGTGCAGCTACATGTGCCGAGCGTAGTGATTTATTTCAATGTTCATTAACGCTACAGAGGCACTTGGTCATGGTTCAAGGCAACTCTGGACCAGGAACTTTTCAGAGAGAGCAAAGGTTAGAAAACTGCCATTAATATTTAAATGCTCCACTTACTGTTGTTTAGATCTCATTTAACATTGGTTATATACAATCCTTTAAAAAAAAATCTACAAAACCTAATGGGATAGTAAATACTGTTCTTCATTCTTTTATATTTTGGAAAACTCCAATCTTGCCTGCCTGCTGTCAAATACTTTCAGAAATCCAGTGCAGTCAGAAGATTTATAGTCTACTACCCTGTCCGTTGAGAGCTTGCTTAAAAAGAGTAGAGGTGAAAGAACTTGTCCCACAAAGTAATAAGATAAAAACTGGAAAAAAGCATATTGTAGTCAGCAGGGTATACTTAAGAACAGTTCATGAGCAATTGCTTAATTGGACTATTGCCTTAGTTATAAATCTGAAATCATTAAATATTAGAAAACAAATACTCCGTTAATTTCTATCAAATATCTCGATCTTGTATTATAGATGGCACCTTACTTGCCGTTGGATCCCATGACAACTTGATTTACCTCTACGTAGTAACAGAAAATGGAAGAAAATATAGCAGATATGGAAAATGCAGTGTAAGTTTTGTAACAATTTTTAGTTTGGTTAGACTTTTTGTGATTTCCCATCCCCTCACACACTTCCAGGATTTGGTAGATTTTGAACTTTAGTGTGATTGCTTTCAAAACTGCTTGTTGGTAGGTGAACCCTTTTGTGTGAACCCTAATACGACTGAATTCTCAAACTTTTATTACTAACTTCTTATTTCAAAGAAAGATGCAAAAACCCTTGTGGTGTATCTACATGTTGAAAATCTTTCTGGGTAAATATTACAGTTGTTTGGGCGTAACTTTCTCTCTATTGATAAGTTTTTGGACCAGCATAATGCTGATGGTGGGATTTCATTAGGAGATTTCATTAGGAGATAAAATTTTGGAGGTTATAAATATGTACTATTTTAAGTTGCAATTGCTATTAAAAATTTGGAAATTGGGGACATGTTATCTTTTAGAAATAAATTTCTAGCCCAGTGTAAATAAATGCAAATGTAGCACAAGTAGTAGAGTTTATATTGGTGCTTACATTTGTATGAGGTTTTCCCAGTGTTAAAAATATCAGTTTCAAGAAATGACCGGCTTTTTCTGTTTTGTTCAATGTTGTCTTACACCCTGGCCTAAAGTGCAGCTGTCTTTCTTGGTTTCACATAAAAAGCATATGAGCCTCAATGGGATTTGCAAAGTGATACTATAAAAATAGATTCATATTTCAAATATCATTTTTTTAAGGATGCATTCCCAACTTGAAATGCTCTTAATGTATTTGTAGCCAATTGCATTTCTCTAATGTTGAAAATATGAGCCACTATGAAACACTGCTTTGTTAGTTTGAAAATCCTGGGAAAGCCCATATGCCCAAATCTTGTCCCGAGATGAGGTTGTCTACTAGAGTTTCTGCTGTGACGGGCCCGGCCTGAGGCCCTTGGAGCTGCTGCGTTGGCTCTGGCTCTCCTTCCTCCTCCACCTCCTTCCTCAGCCTTGGCCTGGTGGAGCAGCGGGCAGGAGGTGGATGGTGGTTTTGGTGGCACTGGCAGTGACAGCCCACTGACCACTAGGCAAACACAGGGTGAGAGATAGGGAGCCCAGTCCAAGAGCCAAGACATATTTAACATTCGACCTACCCTACTTTGAGGTCTGAGAGGGCTCTTTCCACATGCATGCGATCATTTATTTCCGCATAGCATATTGATTCTGTTCAGGAGAAAATATGCTTTAATTTGAGTCAGCACCGAGTGATGTGTCAACCGTGCTGCTTTTTGCTTGTCGCTGTTACCTGGAGGGAGCCACAAAAAGCAGAACAGATTCTGAGCAGTATTCAGAAATGCTTTTTGATGATGTTACTACCTTATTCACACAACAAATATGTAATAATAAATGATCTCATAACTCCAAAACTACCAGTAGCTAGGAAAATTGATCAATAACCAGTTTTCAGTGTACTGAGTATGGAGAATCTGCACTGAAACAAAAGGTAACAGTCCTGCGTAATGTGTTTCTATCTTCCCTTATCATTTTCTCTTTAAACATCCACAGAGATTTTTAAAGTATTTAGCTTCTTTTTAGGGATCTGTCTGTTTCCCTGCATCTTGGGAATTTGGGAGAGAAAAGGGTTCATAAAGGGATGATAGAAATCAGTATAGTTACACTTGGGCAGAAGGGTTAAGGCTTCAAAACAGATTTTTTTTTTTTTTCCTTCATAATGTGAATGATTGCACGAGGAAGCCAAAATTAGCCACCTGGTTTCTCTCCGAGCTGAGCTCCTCTGACCCTTTCAGCTCGTGCAGAATGCAGCAGTGTTATTAATTCGCCAGGCTGAGGAGCGAGGCTGGCGATCGAGTTTCAGGCGGCCGCTACCCTTCCGTGCTTTCTGCCAACACGCTTGGGGGCCGATAGCAGCTTGATGCTAAGCAGGGAGACACCTTGGTATGTTTGAGAGCTTGAGCTCTTGCCTGGTCAGGTGCCTGTGCTCTGGCACCACGTCCTGTTGGCGTTCTTCAGTCCTTCAGTAGCCCAGTGAGAGTGACCTCCAAGGAGTATGACTCAGTCCTTCTGGTAGTCAACTTCTGGTTAGTTCCTCCAACTTGAAAACATTGCTTCAATCCTTTTAGAAGTATTTTATTTACTAGACCAACTTCAGCTTGGCTATGAGGTGATCGCTACTACTGTGTGTAAATAGTCATGGTGGGGTTTTCTGCCACGTGAAATAGGCTGACTCCTAAGCCTGTTTCATGTTGGTTGTGATCAGGAAGAATTTCCGATGAGCTGGAGCAACCGTTGTGACTCGTGCAGCTGTTTGGAGGGCTTCAGATATGCAGACAGCAATCTGAAGGGCATGGGCTAGGTTATGAACTTCCAATGTGTCAGCAACTCTGGGATAAGTGGCCCTGGCTCCATTTGCTTTGCATCACTGAGAAGGAAAGATCTGTGCATCTGCTGAGCTGGCTGTAGGACAACCTGAAATCATCAGTGTGCCCATTCCATAAGCCGTGGACATTTCAACCCTTGTATCACTTAAGTCTGCGAAACGTTACCAATGAAGGAAATGATTTTAGATAGTCAGGGAGTTGCAATAACCAACGATAACACAGGTAATTATGCTCTTCGTATATGAAGGTACACAAAAGGCAGGAATAAAAAGTTGCTTTATCTCTGAGAGCTACCGAAGAGAGATTTTAATGGAAAACAAGGCTGTGCTATTTAAAATATTGTGTTCTGTTCCGATTCATCATTTAGTGATCACTTGCTTGAAGGGATTTTCCAGCATGGAGCCCCCTGGCCAATTGCTTTGTTCACTCCCCCACCACCCCTAGGAATTTTAACAGCTGCCAAATGTCTGGCAGGATTTAGTAAATGACTGACCAATTCTTTTCCATGTTGGAGTTAGCTTGCAATTTTTAAGGGTTGGAAAATAAGGAAAAAAAATCCGAGCCAATCATACATTTATTTTTTCAAAATAACCAAGTTTGCATGTTAATATCATATATCTTACCCTTGACTACGAAGTAGATATGTCAATACGCAGCTCCTCTGCCAGAGACTAATTTATAGGGAAAATAAATCTTAAATGTTATTTTTTCCCCCCCTAAATGTTTCTGAACTCCCTTGCAGAAGGCCTGGTGGCAGGGGGAGCAGCGATGACTGTATTTCTACATATAATTCTGGAGGCAGTCGGCCTCTCTGCGGTCAGTCGTGCAGAAGTCAGTGACGGGTAGCGTGGCTGCTGGGAGCCACTTTGCAGGGTGCCCCTGCCCGAGGGGATCGGTGCTCCGGCACAGTCCTGAGTGATGCAGGCAGGGCCGAGGGATCCAGCCTGGCTCCAGAGATCCTGCCTTTGTAACCTGTGCTGGGAGGGGAAAGAAGAGGAGTTGGCAGCTGTCAGTCATGAGGAAGGCAACAAAAGATGCCCAGCAGAAGGATTAGGAAGCAAAAAATAGATGTCTTATGAGGGAAGGAGGAGCAGTAAGAAGAAATGGGAGGGTGCAGGAGAGCAAAAAGAGTGAAATGGAAGTCATGTTTACTCGTTTCCTATTCCCCCTTCTGTGGATAGTTAGCTTACTTGTTTTACGAAATTACAGCTTCCCTGGAGGCTTTCATATCATTCTTTTTTAGTAGTACTATGCTTAGCAAGCAAACAAAATGCATGGGAAAAACACTCTAAATAGATGCATTTAGCTTCTCCCCTAAATGTATGAGAAAGGCAGCTGCTTAGTGTGATGGTGATAAACACACAAGCAGACCAAAGTGAGTTTATTAATGCAGTGATGACCCTGCACATAGAGGGAACCCCCTATAGCTGGTGTGAACCTGTGTGGTGCAAGGCGCATAGCAGAGACATTTGGAAAGCTTGACAGGGTATCCTGGAGCACAGGGAAGTGCTGCAGACCTGATGGGCTGCAGGGACAGGCTTTTGGGGATGTTTTGTCACATCTAGGGGCGCAACTGTTGTTTCTATTGTCATTAAAACATGCTTTTCACATTGGTGCTGTTGCTTGCTTCTGTAGGGACATTCCAGCTATATTACACACCTTGACTGGTCCCCGGACAACAAGTATATAATGTCAAACTCAGGAGACTATGAAATATTACACTGTAAGTATCAACGTATACTGGAAACAGAAATTTATACTGGCTATGACAACATGTAGAGGATTGGGTCTGATGAGGACTGCACAAAGTGCTTACTGACAAAGGGACTAATTTGAACTTCTGTAACCCGATATCTTGATGTTACTCAGAGCTGTGTATTACCTAATGGCAATGCCAGATATAGCTTACTTCTCCACAAGGTCATAAATCAGGTTAACAGCTTAGAATTTACAGAGCAAGCGGCAGTAGGTTTTCATGTTAGCCTGCAAGTTTTATGGTTAGAAAATAATATATATAGTTGCCTAATTAGTGCCAACAAAAGCAGTTATTTGGGAGGGGAATAAAACTGGTGAGCCACTGGGTTTTTTTTTTTTCTTTTTTTTTTTTTTTTTAAATTGCTGTTTGTGCTGTTTGTTTGAACTTTATCTTAACTGCTGGTGATGAAAACTGAGCAAAGAATACTACTACTTGCATGAATTAACGGTGATACTATTTTCATGTTTGTCTCTTAATATGTTCAGATATGAATTAAAGTGGAATACATACCACTTTTATCACAAGTTCAGTTTTCATTATGTGAAATACATTTCAGTGTATTTTTAAACTGTTTTTTTGTTCTTGTCTTCCTGTGGTTTTAACTGGAGCACAAGATTTGTAGGCTCTGGTTCCACCCAGCAAGAAGAGCCACTGCAAAGCAGTACTGTAATATATCTGGCACCTTAACATCTCCTTTCTGCTTGATTGCAACTTGCATTGCAAATCTGAATATTTCAGTGTTTGAACCTGCCAAAAGAAAATGTTGGTGGTAATAGTTGCCTACGTAGGGAAGCGAAGAGCTGTGATCCATTAGCACTTGACTGGTATATGGAAGGGTGGACATTCTTTTAGTAAACAATCACTCATGTCGTAGTTGGAGGTGGAAAGCAATTTAAGGCTTCTATGGCAATAGTTTCTCACTGTTTTTAAAAGCAGAGCTGCCTGAATAACTGATTGAATTTTGGCACTTTGATGGAGGTAGAAAGGACAATTTCTGCTACTACAGAACCTGCTAAAACATTTTATAGATCAGATATCAGGGGACACAAACTGCAGGGCAATGTTTTTGAGGTACGTCGACAGAGAGTACCTCAGTACACTGGAAGGGAAAAGAGATGCAACTATGGCTCTTAGAAACCAAGTAAAGGTTGAAATAGTTGGAATTTGATAAAGGACCTACAGTATAATGTAGTTTTGGTCTATCTTTGCCTCTATAGTGTGATTCTAGGCTTTTAAGATGCATTTATTACTGTCTCCATTAGTCATAGCATATATAAAAGTCATATATTTAAATCCACAGTTGTATGCCATAACTCCTCCTTCACTTTTTTTAAAGGGGACATTCCAAGTGGCTGTAAGCAAGTCAGGAATCGTTCTGACTGTAAGGATATAGATTGGACGACATACACTTGTGTGCTAGGCTTTCAAGTGTTTGGTAAGCATCATTTAACTTGCTTTTAACCTATTTTGCTTCATGCTTTTGTTATTTATTTTGCTGAAGTTTGTCATTAGAAATATGCTGCTGTTAATTAGGGATAATGATGCTGAGATGTCCAACCAAGAGGCTGACCAGAGTACTTGTCTATGATATGGAGCACTGAGTATGAGTATACTTCATAGAAGATGTGTACTTGACTTCCATTTAATCTTGAAGGTTGGGATTTGATTCCTCTGCTGTCATTTTAGGCTTTCAGTTCTGGGGCTGTTGATTCTGTTTTGGACATAAACGCTGATATTTTGAATTCCTTGCATAGTATACACACATTCGTCTTGTTTCTTGGTTTCGGGATGGGGTAAATCTAGCAATCAGTGAAGATATGAGTACTAGATATGGTTCATGACTTAAAAGCATGGCAGCACCTTGAGACCTGCAGTCAGCATTGAGTAATGTATGGTGCTTCCAAAGAGTAAAATACTTTAAAGATTAAACAAATTCTTTGCCTATTGGTTTATTTAAAAAAGAAAAGTAATGTAGGAGAAAATTACAAACCTGACAGATGTGACTTCAATACTGCTTAGTTCACGTCTGCATCCTAATAATTCAAACTATTTTTGCTTATTAGAGCAGCTCTATTGGCCTTAAGTTAGGAGTTCCTCTGTAATGAAAAGTATTGTTCAGTCTATCCATGTTGCATGCTAAATGCTTTGCTTTGACTGCTGGCATCGGCTGCCTTCCTTAGTTCTTCACATCGTAGGAAACAGCAAAAGCAAGTAGAAGTAAACCATTAAGCTCTTCAGAGGTGAGGGTTAGATCTACCTTCATTTTCACAGCTACTAGGAGTTCAGCTTTGAATATCAATTTGTATGCAGGTTGGAAGAAAATCAGATAAATCAAGTACTTTATGTAGCCTCTCTCAATTGTCATTTATATTCTTGGAATATCAAGTCCTTAGGACTTAGGAAAAACAGATGGGGACAAGGAGGATGATGACTCGTTGGTTTACTCTATAAATGTTTTTGAGTTATTTGGAGTTTGAGACAGATAGGAGAAATGAATTGAAACATACTGTTCATGGAGTTGAATACAGTTTGTTGTTTCTTTGAGAATACTTGTTCCTGAATTAAATATGGTTTGATATATGCTTTTATATTCAATCTGTCTTAGTGAAAATAAGAGGAACCATTTCCTTCTAATATCATGTGCATGTAAGGCTAGACCCATTAAGGATATCAGTCTGCAGTATTCATTTCCTAACTTTTATTTGTTGCTGCAGAGATAAGACTGAAATAAAGACGACAGTAGCATAAATGGCTTTTTCAAATGCCATATTAGAAGATTCAACAAAAAGGAGAGAAAGTGAAAAAGCAAGAGCCTAATATAAGATCTTTGCATATATGCTTTTTAAAGCAAATGTACTAAATGTTCCTTCTGAAAAAGCATAGGATCTTCAGCCATTTAATGTTTTATGCCAAGTTGAAATATAACTAAAATTTGAAGATGTTAGAAGGTGTCTTCCTCATAGGTACTGAAATTATACCATTGCATTTGGTATTAAAACTGGTTGAATAGGGGGAACAGCTTTGTGTATCCCTGTGCTTTCTCAGAAATGTCCTTTATGCACAATCGGAAGAGATTAGGTGTGGGAATGCAGAAATATGTCTCTGAGCTTAGTTGATAGCTTACAGGATGTTGACTGGGACAATCTCATTGGCTTTGATGAACAGCTAGACCATTGTTATCTGGCTTTAACAAACATTGATTTGAAACTGCTGGTGACTTGGGCCAGACTGATACTAGTTGATTAGAGATGAGCAATTCCAATAATCACTGTTCTGAGGCTTTCCAGCTTGTTTTATTTCTTGTTTTAAACTACTCTTCAGTGGATATGTCTGCTGATTCTGTCTAAATTCCCTTCCAAATTAATATGTGCTTTAACCACTATGGATTTAATTTAATTAGTCTCAACCACTCAAAAAATCTTCAAAGTGCCTGAGGGCTTTTTAGTAAAGTAGATATGTCAGATAATATGATTTTATTTTGAGGCAGAAGAGAATATATTTAATGTAGCAAGTATAAAAGTAAACTTTCTAGCCAAGAGCTGTTAAACTTTAATTTTATATTGTCTACTAGTCTGACACTCCTGAGAGAATCTTAAAATTATGACTTGGTCTCTAGCAAAGTATTCTCCCGTTAAATCAGATAGAGAACTGAGTCTAAGCAGCAGTTAGCTGGGAACTCAGAAGAATTAAGACTGACCCTTTGGCGATCTGGCTCAGAGATCCGAACTGCTGAAGGGCTGCTCCCTTTAATGTGCCGAAGGAGGACTAAGTTTTGGGTTTGGGGACTTCGTGGGTTTTTATGTTTACTTGTTCTGCTAATTTTGTGCTGTGGATAGTGGGGGCTCAGGCATGCCCTGTTGTTAGCAGGAGGAGAATGGAAGTGAAAGATGGGGATGAGAGAAGCACTATCCCTGTTTCATTATAAATATTTTAATATTGGCTTAACAGTGTCTTCAGTCTGCACCCTGAGTACTTAAAGTATCCTCCTCACTTGCTGAGTATTTTCCACATTTTCCTCAAAATTGATTATTTTGGAGAGACTTACCTCTGATTAAAACTCATGTGCTGCTGTCATACTTATTAAGAGTTCTGTTACTTCATATTCCTTTCTGTTTGTTTGGATTTTTTTTTTTTTTTTTTTTTTGTTGTTGTTGTTGCTGCTGTTGAAGTTCATAAACTCAAAATACTTGGACATTTTAATGCCTTGTTTTTTCTTTGCTTACCTCATACACTAAAAGCAAATCTTCTGTCCTATAACAAAGGATTGCCATACCTTTAGAAATGGTAAAAGAATTTGTGAATCTCAAAAATACAACTTAAAAAACCAGTCTTGACTCCTAGTCTTTTTAATTCTAAATTAAATGTAGTAATTTCTAATGCTTTTATTGAATTGTTAAAACTGCAGCCCCATATTTATTCAGGGCTTCTCCTCCAGGCAATGTTGTTATTCTTTTGTCTAGACATATCAGTGTCGTGCTCCTCGCTTAAGCATATTGAATTGTACTTAGGCACTTGACAGCATTTTTGTCTATGAAACATGTACAGGCCGTGTTTCCATGCAAAATATCATTAATCAGTTGTATTTTTTTAATCATGCAAAAAAAAATCTTAAAAATGGACATGAATTTAAAAAAAAAAAAAAAAAGAATTCTGTAGGTAGTGTCTTGTCTTGTTTGATGCTTCAGTATCAGGTTATAAAGCATTTGTACAAAGATGGAGGCTTCAGTCAAGGAAACTTTTCACGCCTCAGAGGTTGCCCTGACTGCAGTTTGGGGTTTAGCAGGAGGAAGTGGTGCTAGAATAGCAACAAATTATAGAGCCCAAAACACTTTTTTTGTTTTCTGATTGAATTTTATGTTTATATTTTATTATATTTGTCTCTGTTTTTATTGATTTCGTTTTTGTTTATGAATTAATTTTTAATGTGTTTTTAAAAGTACTATCACTAAATTGAACTGTTCTGTTCTCTCCTAGGAGTTTGGCCTGAAGGATCAGATGGGACAGACATAAATGCCCTTGTCAGATCCCATAATCGAAAAGTGATAGCAGTTGCTGATGATTTTTGTAAAGTCCATCTCTTTCAGTATCCCTGTTCCAAGCCAAAGGTAAGTCTAGACCAGTCTAGTCTATGTGATTGTGTGCATTGCATGAAGTCTTCTGTGCCAGACATCTGCTTCCAGACCAGTTATTTTTGAATGTTGCAGCCAAATGGTACATTTTTTCCCTGAGAACAAAGAGGAAAAACCATTGTATCAGGAAATATGATCATATGTATACATCTGTGTGTGTGTTCGTGTGTGTGTGTATAAATCTTAATCATGAAAGTAGTCATATATATATGCGCATGCACACATATTTATGCATAAATATATGTATATATGAAATAGTAGTTATTTTTTAGCACTGAAGCAGAGGCTTAATGCTTGCTGTTGGCTGCCCTTAGTGTTAAGTCTTTTAATTTTTGCATAAGATATTTCTAAACTTGTCCCAAGTTACAAACCTTAAACAGATATTCTGGAGGGAAATATTGGGGAGGAAAAAAAAGCAAATATAAGTTGGAATGCTTATGTGAATAAAGGGCTCTCTTGAATGGCTAGACACAAATGTTAATAGCTTGTTTAGATTTTGGTATCATGTGCTCTTCTAGTCAAGTGTATGATTTATTTTCCTGTTTATTTCAATAGGCCCCAAGTCACAAATACAGCGCTCACAGTAGTCATGTGACAAATGTCAGCTTTACCTATAATGATGGCCACTTGATTTCAACTGGAGGGAAAGACATGAGTATTATTCAATGGAAACTTGTGGAGAAGGTAACTCTACCACAAAATGACATTGTAGTAGAAATCGGTGCAAACAAAGTGCCCACCCCTGCCAGTGAAAACGCTGTACAGTCTCCTGCACCTCTCCCACAGCCTTTTAATGAAATAAATCAAAATGAAAGTGTAACTGGCAGCTCTCCAGCTTCCTTGGAGAGCAACTTGGAGCAGTCTGCGGAGGCCAGCGAAGAGCAGAGCGAGGAGCAAAGCGACGGGAGCAGCCTGGATCCTGCGGAGCCAGGCTATGAAGAACCATCCAATGAGACAAGTGAGGAGCACAGTGAATCCACTCTAACTGAAGAGCAGCAGGATAACTCACCGGTGTCTTAACACTTCCAACTTGGATGGCTTTTATCTTCCCTTGGTGTGCATTACTTCATTAAGGGGTGAGGGTTCAAATAGGGAGAAGTAGCGGAGATTCATGACCACACCAGCTTTTGAGTTTCAGTGAGATTTTTAGTCTGACCTTCAGTTCAATATGTGGAACCATCTCAAGGGCCCAGCTTCATGGTTTGTGTCAAGGCCTGGTCAAAGTTAGTAGTGGACATTACCATAGATTCATTCATCTTAATTCTGAAATTGTGGTCAGGAAGTGGCATGAAATACATACTGGAAAAAAAAAAAGAGCTAGCTCTAAGAAGTAGAGCTTTTTTGACCACCTTTCCTGTGTGAGAGTGTTTCCTAAAAGAACTAAACCAAACAGAAACACTGGGTGATTCCAGTTGAGTAGTAGTATGCTGCTTTTTCCAGGTGTGAGGACAAACAGAAACCTGAAAAGCTCTGTGTAGAGCTGTTTTCCTTCATTTTTTCCTAACGAGAAAAAGAGAGGAAAAACAGTGTAACGACACCATGTGCGTCAATGCCATCTTGATCTAACATATATGCAATTTTCTGACACTACTAATTCTTAATAGAGTCTGGACACACTCACAGTTGGTCTGCCCTGGGTGCTGCTATTTCTGAAGCAAATCCTATTGAGGAACGGTGGTGGTTGTTCCATCTTACAGACCATTTAATAACAGACTAACCAGATACCGGTGTGTTTCACTTGTTCATGACCTGAAAGTCGATTTGAGTTGTAGGTTGTGTTGTAATTGTTTCTTCAAAGAATTGCTTGCCTCGAGAGTCTGAAACCTAAGAGAGTCTTTACAGTGACCTTAATGTGAACAGCAGAGAATGCGTGGCAAGAACAGTCAGGTGGGTTCTAGAGTTAAACTTCAAGCCTTCAAGCAGAACTTGCTCCATCCCTAGTAGGAGAAATAGAAATGCAGTTAAATTATTAAATTGGTGCTTGGGATTAGCATATTAAAATGTTTTTTTGGGGGGGGAGGTGTAGAGGGGGCGGAAAGGAAGGGGTTGTCTTTTTTCTTTTTTTTTCTGGCTCCTTAGCAGTTGTGTTATAAGTATACAGGCATACGGTAATTTAGATGATGTGATTTTTTTCAGACTTGCTGATCTATCATTTCTGTGATTTCCTCCCCCCACCCCCAGTTGCTCTAAGCCATGCAGCTCTCATGTGGCTATTCCTGGCCAGTTACGGGATATCTTGGCATTTGTTATGCATTTGGAAAGTAATTTTTTTATGAAGTTTGTCAGATAGCTACAGTTTTTTTCTTAAGTGCATATGTTTCCTACTTTAAAAAGGTATAGATTTACTGACAGATATCCATTTCCTATGTACTTGTTTATATTTTGATTACATAGAATTTTCTTTTTTTTTTAACTTGCTGCATTGTGCTGATATTTTAGTTTTTAGTTAGAGTATCATGTGTAGAAACTTTGGATGAGTTCATAAGTCTTAATTATGCAAGCGTTTACGTGATTGTGCCATTCCAAAGTGCATCAAAACTGTCATTCCCTTACTAGTGTCTTCTCAGGAGAAATGCTACAGATCAGGTATTTAGTCATCATTCGGAAAGATAAAAACAAATGGACTCCCAAAGGACATTTTAGAACATTTATATATAAAATATATAAATATATATATACACACACACACATATATATAAAATATCCTCTTGTTTACAACAGTTCCAGAAACCTCAAAGTAGTTCCCTTCTGATGAAGGGAGGTATGGATTCCAAGCAACCCATCTGTTTAAACTGTGCTCTGTACATAGTGTTTTACTGGAGGGCTCTAGTATGCCTGACTTGCAAATTTGCCAAATAATAGCAATGAAAGATAACGTTCAGATCATCAAAATACATGGTTCCAAATGGGGAATATGCTGTAGGTATAGAAAAATCCTAGTAAAGGAAAAAAAAAAGGATTTTAGAGCTAATGAGGCACAGAGCTCTCTCTGATTTTTATGAACTCCAAGTAAGCAACACATTTCATTTGGAACATCAGTCGCCTGGGGTTGCCATATAAAGTGAGAGTTATAGTTGTGATATTCTTGTGTTTGTAGTTCAGAAGACTCTACTAATATGCAAAAAGCCTTACAGCTTTCAATTGCTGGCAACTACTGTTTAACAAATAATTAAATCTGTGATAATGGATGGAAATGGGTGGGATTATGTAACTGTAGATGTTTTAGAAAAATAATTGTGAATGAATTATGATTAAGAGTGTTTCATGTGAAGATGTTTGAGCCATTTCTATCTATCATGCATTCCTGTCTCAAGGCAGAAAATTTTGAAGATTTAAAAAATAAAATAATCAAAATAATGAAGTGCAGTGTCTTTTTCCATATTAATGCTACTGCTTTTATGCACACAAAATGCATGTCAGCATTTTCAGATTTTGGAGCATTTTAGAAGAGGGAAGAAAAAGTCTTGTTTAACTTGTATATTTTTGATAATTATCTAGATTTATTGAAATAATCTTGTTCAATTTCATGAGTAGTGACGATGCTCCTAAGCAATGTTCTTGACTGTTGACTTTTGAAACATTTTCTGACATATCTCCTGTCCATTGCTAGTTAATTGCCTACTAGCGTGATCATACTGTAGCTGATTAATAGTGGTAAATTGATGGGAACTGTGGGACTACAAATAGGGACTTTTTTAAATACTTGTTGCAGTTAACCTTTCTGGATTCTATCAGTAGATTTCTGCTAGAAATCATATAAAAACTGTGAGTATATTTTGGATATAACACCTTGAATGCGGCAACACTTCCACATTCAAAGTGGTCTGTGTCCAGTTGCAGAAATTTACAGTATGCTTCAGTTTCTTAATATATTTCTTGTGAAACATTCTCAGAGTCCTTTACGAAAATTTGAATTTCCTCCATTGCTTGCAGCTGGTTTTTGTCATTCACAAATGGCAAGGGGCAGGGTGGAGAGGAAAAAGATGCTTTCAGAATGGCCTTATAGTTATCCTCTATTTAAAAAAAAAAAAAAAAAAAAAATGGAAATCACAGTGAGTCTTCAAATTGTCAGGAAAATATTGTTGCTCTAACTGTAGTAGTGAGCCTTAAGGACATGCCATGCCACTTCGAGAATGTCTACAGCATCATTTATGACCTTGCACTTGGGAGGGCTGTACAGCAGAATGCTCTAGAGATGTTCCAATTCCGCCCAAATTGAGTATAAGATTTTTGCTACCAATTCTCCTGGGATAAAGGAACTGAGAAGATTCCCTCGAGAAGAATCTCCCTCAAGAGGAGGTAAGTTAGAAACCTGATCTTTGTGAACTTCTCCAGTGATGGACCCACGATGTGGCTCCAGGTACCCAGTCTTATTTGGCAGTGTCTGTTGCTGGCTTAGGTCTTGTGAAATGACACACCCTGAAATGCAGGGTGTGTCATTGAAGGCATGAAACTGCAACAACACCCCATTTTACATGATTGAAATGTAAGTTTCAAAATCTACATGACCTTGTTTTAGATTGTGTAGTAAAATACCTGAATGTTGGGAAATACTAAGGTTTTAGATGCATATACCATCAATCCATATTGAGTATATAATCATGCATAGTTATATATGTGTGCATATATATATATATTTCAGTGTAAAAAGAGCCCTCTTTCAGGGTATGATCACATACTACTATTTCTTTTTTCTCATACAAGTTCCAGAGTAAGAGAGGGTATTCATGAGTCAAGCATTTCTTAGTTTTGATTTTGCTGTAATTGTCCTTAAAAAGTAATGATTTTTGTATGTAATTTATGTTAAGTTTCAACCTCTTATTTTTACTGTTCCTAAGAATGCATAGATTCTGGGTTTACTTTTCTTTCTTGAAATCAGGCATAAATCAAATTTCCATGTCATATCAAATGCAACATACTGTTCAGCATAGGCTGCATTTTCTCCTTTATTCTTCATCTGTGCAAGTTGGTTAGACTCCCTTATATTTCCTTCAGTTCAATGAATTATTTCAGCTGAATCAGGACATAAATGTCCTTGTGAAATTTAACTTTGGCTGAGCCAAACAACAAATTCTCCCTTCCGTTGCCTCATGCCACTAAAATGTTACTTCCTGGCAATGAAAGGATTAATATTGCATGACATGGATTTTATTTGTGTGATATTTACGCTGCTTGTTTGTTCGTTTCTGTACAAGTTTGAGCCTATTGCCTAATCTTTTTTCTGACAGATGTTTTGTGTACTAATACTTTAATCAACTGAGAGTTAAGAGCTGCATACAGGAGGGTTAGACACTATGCAGTTTAGAAAAACAGACACTGTACATATGTATTTAATGCACGTTTGTGGTTCTGTATTTGTGTGGAGATGCGTATATAAGCATCCAAAGATACAGCTCTTCAAGGCAATTTTTAACGTTTGAAAGAGAAATTGCTTTAGACTGCAATGAATTCGGAAGGTTTAGGAGCAAAGGGAGAAAGTCATTGGATAGAGGCATTCCCAGCATGACCTCCTTGCAAGGCAGGAAAGCTAATTTCAGGCAACATGACTGGGTTGTGCAGTTGTGGGACTGTGGCTGTACCAGAGGTAGGTTCCCCAGCTCAGGTCCCCAGTGTCACCTCCATGTGCCTCACTACCATCCTCCTCAAGGGGAGCAAGGCTGAGGGAGCTTCCAAGCCTTGCAAACCTCAGGAGGTTCCAGCCTAACACGTTTTCTAAAGGTAGGTGTTCCGGTGTTCTTCTGTGTGTTTCATAAACGCTCTTCCAGGGAGTTTTATCAGACAGCGTACCAACTCCTTCAGAGATCTGCTAGCATGGGCATTGGTTTTCCTTCCATGAAGACACAGAAACGTTAGACTGGGAAGCTTATATGTTCCTCCTGCCCCACGGCTAAATGTGCTCCAGGAAGGCTAAGGAGGGAGGAGGAGACCAAAACACACCAACAAGGAGAAATGCCGTTGATTGCCAAGATGATCTGTTGGATTCATCACTGAAAAGTGAAAAACAGGTCTCCTGTTACTGCTGTTAGGACCGTGCACCAAGAAGTAGGGAGCATTTTTGCTGAATAATATAAACACCTTATGACTTGAAGGTTTTTCCAGTCGTTTTTCTCACTCCTTAGGTCTTCTCTGTATGAGAAAAATCTATGTAAGTGTTCAGTTTTTCTTAAGAACTTCTGATGTTACCAGTGATTTCATAAAACAAGAGGTTTCTAGAGATCTGTTGCTGGTTTTCTTTTTAAAAACAGTTCTAAAAGACTTTGGTCTCTTCCAAAAAAAGTTAGCCTAGTTAAACTAAATTCTGTAATGAGTCCACACCTTAGTGATTTCTGTGTAATTGTAATTTCAGTGGAGACCTGTGGGCCCTCACTAGATCTTACGAGATAATGGTCTCATGAGGTGAATCACAAGTAAGGGGTCAGAAAGGTCCATACCATGTGAGCAGTCTCTTCTACGTGTATCTTTCTGCATTATATTGCTTTGGTCTAAAATAACCACCCTTTAATTCTTTGGCATTTTTGTAAAAACACGTATTGCCATGATTTCTTACAAGCTGTCGAAATTCCAATTTCATTGTTCATACTTTATTTCTTTTAATAATTTTTTATTTATTTATTTTAAGTAACTTTTAATGTTATCTGTAGAACAGCTTTATTGCGTGGTCATCCAAAATAAACACTCCAGATAGTTCTGGTAATACTATATCCCCCATTGTGTGATGCTGCAGCAGTGTTCCCTGCACTACTTCCCTAGCAAGTTGACTTTGTGCAGACCCCCCTTGCTACACAATGCACACTTCATTCATGTACATCACTGTTTCCAGTCCGAAAGCCCTTGCTTATAGCTGCACTTGACATTTGCTTGTAATTTCTGTTTCAGAATTTAAATTCTCCTTAAATACACTAACTTGTCAGTCGAGTAATTTTCCTTTTCTTCTTGCAATGGAGTTCCCAAATATACTGTGTATCAAAGAGGTCTCCAGGCAAAGCTTGCTCTTGCAGCAGTCACTCTATTCTCTAGTGATGCTGCAAACTCTACCATAGACCAGATTAAGTGTAAAACATTGTCTTTTGTGCTGTGTTGATATAGATCTTTTTCTTGAAGGGTTGGTCAACATGGAAATAAGCCTGGGGACAGGAGGGGACAGCCTGGAGACAACTCTCTACCATTGCTAATGCTCAACAGGTGCTTTTCATGAATGTTTATGAAATGGCTGTAGTGTAGATAGGGTTCTTTGAAAGTTACTGTTTGCTCCAAACGTAGCAAATGGAAATTAAATGTCAGTTAAGTGTGTCTGGAGCCAGATTTCTTATGCTAAAAGTCTTTGTCTTTAATGATTGCATGTCTTTAATGATTGCATGTCTCCTAATTTGCACACAAGTGCAATCTTGTGTTTGTATAGTGCCAGTTGTGGGAGGCAAATATGAAACATTAAACATTCCAAAAAATACTAAAGGATTTTTTTAAGATGGATGCCCATTTCATCCTTTTCCAGGACCATGTGAATCTGCTTCTGTTACATTTTGTGTATGTAGTATACATTAATTTTGCTATTGAGCATTTTAAATAAGAATTGATAATTCTTCATATGAAAAACCTCCACAAATAATTTTCTTCCCAATTACTCTATCAGGGGACCTTCCTAGAATTGTACCTCTGAAATGTCTTTCCTTGAGTAGGCCCCTTGGTCTAATAGATTTTTATTCAATTATACACAACATTGCAGAATGTTTTTTCTCTTAATCTGGAATGTCATCATATCCTTATTTCCAGCAATTAAATCAGGCTCCTTCTCCCTAACTGTCGAAGAGGTGGAATGCTGCAACTCAAATAGATCTTTTGCTATCTAAAAATCCTGGCTTGTCTTAGCTTCATCTTTAAAAAAAATCTTCAATGCAATTAGAGGCTAAATTGAATTGGTTATGTATACATGCAAATGCAGAAATGCAGATACTAAAAAAAGCTAAAGAGAGGAGGAAAAAAAAAAAAGAAAAGACAAAAGGCAGCTGTGGAATGTGCCCTGGTCCACCCCGGATTACAGAATCCCATTAAAGTCTCTCTATTTTTATGAGCTCCATGCTATAGTATATCATCATTATCAGCGTTTGTGATATTCTTGGAACGGACTCGCTTACTTGGATTACTTTCTCCCAGCATGTTTTCAGTTTAGCAGCAGCAC